ATTTCTTACGTTATCGAAAGATTTCAGTGCTTATTCCTTTTTTCGATGCTTAATATTACAGCTTATTTTTTTCATGTGGGATAAACACATGAAAAAATCCTATTTTTTTTTTTGATCATGTTATTGATGATGAAGCAAACGCAGATTTGAGACTTCCTAAATTGGGTATTACTTGATTAGTTGTTTGAAACGTTAGCAAGAATAGCGAAACGTATCATATTCAATTCTCTGCGGAGGGTATTCTCAATGCAATTTTCCTCTACGGTTCAACATTTATCTATGATTCTGCTACGTCGTTAAGGTGAAAATTTTCCTTTGCGAAGCCGTGTAACACCCCACCGGCAGCATACAGAAAAATCATCTCATTATAAAGCATAGAGCAGCACGAAGAGCCATTTCGCAATCACTGTGCTCTCAGATCTCTGGGGCCCGTGATCTGTCTGTGTGCGGTGTACAACTGGCAGCATGCAACGCGCGCCCCCGGAAGTCCTTAATGGCGGTTGGCACAGAGCAAAACGGCGGGAAAGTGTTACGCGCGCTCCGCTGTCTATGGTACTCAGTGTGGCGAGATCCGTCGAGATGGCATGCGCGCCCCTATCGATCGTCGCGGATGACTTTCAGAGGACTGCGCTCAGCCTGCGTTCCAAGTTCAAAAGCAGATACAGTGCAACTATTTATAAGGTCAAATTCTGTGGCAATAGAGTTAGGCTTTTTGAACTTTTTTTTTCTTAAGCTTACGTTCGGTTACATACACTCAACCCGTACTTCTTCATTGAAAATTGATATTAATTAAACATTGTTTACAATGCCTTTATTATATTATTACTAATGCTTTTCAGGATTTTTTTTTATTTGATACGTACCTAGATCATTTAAATGACAATTGTCGTTAATCGTCAAAACATAAATATAACTTAGGTTTTCTGCTCGGGAATTCATGAACTCGAGAAGACTATAGAAATCCGCCTTGGTTGGTAAATCCCGTGCCAAATTCAAGACTGCGAGCTAGTTGTTTTACTCACACACACCTTACAAATTACTTACTACTAGAGCCACAAGAAGTAGTTACTTACTTAGTAATTACTTATTACAAGTTCAAGTACAAAAGCCTCATCATTTTCCCTAGAAAGTTTTATTTGACATTTCTAAAAGATTATGCCTACATGTAGCAAAATTTTTGTTTGTTGTCCTAAATAAATAAAAAAAATAAAAATATAAATAAATATAAACTCTTAGGATTGTTGTTGTACCGCCCTAAGTTATGTTTCCATTAGTTATTATTGTAATTTTTCCGTTTTGTTTGATCTCAATGATTTCAAAGTTAAAGCTAATAAATACCAATATTAAATAATTATTAGAGAAATAATTCGATATTTAAGTTTTTTGTTTCTAGACATTTTTTGTGTTCCTAATTCTTGTGAGAATGTAGATTTGATCTTTTGTAAATTTTGAGGCAATAAAAAACGTTTATTTCGTGATTATTTACAGTTTTTTCTTTAAAGGACATGGTTCAAAAGTGGTAGTTGGTTTCCGGCAGTGACGAGACATATCGCACCTCCGGTGCGACACTGTCACTTATGCAAAAACATTTTTTTTTCAGGAGGAGCGTTTAAAACTTTAACATCCCAAAACATACAATATTTAAAGATTTTTACGTGATGAAAAGCTTATACTGCTTAGCTATTCATCTAAAAAATAAATAAAAAAAAACTTTAAATATTGAATGTTTTGGGATGTTAAAGTTTTAAACGCTTCTCCTGAAAAAAATATTTTTTGCATAAGTGACAGTCTCACACCGGGGGTGCGATATATAATTTGAAAGCTTGTTTTATATTATATCATGAACACATACTTTTAATTTTTAATTTATCGCCGATTAATTTTTAATCATGTTTAAAAATTTACCAATTTTGTGGGGATGCTGGCTACAATGTCATAATTATGTAACGTCATATTTTTTGTAAGTGGCGGTTTTTATTGTCAACTTAATCAACATTGCACGATATTCGTGAAATCGTGGTGAACTTATTACATACATTTTTAATTAATTCTTCTTGAAATAAAATACCCACAAAATACCAATTAATGTAATGAAAGATGAACAGAATAATGATGAATAGAATATATTTTGGCAACAAAAATAGATAAATAAACTTGTCACTTGCGAATCAATACTTATATACTTTTATACTATTATTATTTATAAACGGGGATGAAATTAATGCTGGTTTTCTGGCAAACGTTTTACGCTTAAGTGCAACTACATTTAATAAAAATCGACTCGAGAAGACACGAGAAAGTATACTAAAGGCCTAGTGCCCCCCTCTCCCTATCCATTTCAATATCTCCCTATTCCATCAAAAAAGGATCCTACTCACCAATCCGCGCTGGGGCCGCATGGTGGACCATGGCCCTATTCCCCGATTCCGTCAAACTATTAAACAAACTTTAAACCAAGTCCACAGCCAGCGCCGTCATTGGTCGCACTTAGCTGCTCACCTAGCAACTCCCAGTTTCCTCGCTAGTTTGTACGGAAAAAATATTACAAAGTTTTCATCCCGTAGCCCCTATCCGCCATACCGACTGAAAAGGAACTTCATTCCATAACATTATACATATATGTATACAGATAAATTAATAATAATAATAAATTATTTATTTGATTCAACATACAATTAGTACAATACACAAATAGAATGACAGTAAATTTTAATTGTGACAGTGAAGTTTTGACTTGTTGCTGGTATTCTGCCACCACCTCACAGTTATTATATTCTTAAAAATACATTAATTGGGACAACATCAGCAAGTCGAGACTATAATTTAGTTTAAAATACTACAGCAATTAAATAGCACCGTAAATTTGAAATTATACATAAATGAGATTTTGTGCATAGGGCTAAAAAGTCCTATCCTTCTTATCCTTTAACATGCGGCAAGTTACAAAATGTATTGTAAGTATACTTAGCTACTACAACTATCATTAAGTTTATCATATCTATCTGTCTTGTAGTCGTCATCAGTTTGATACTGGCGTCATCTCTCAGAGTGTGTAATCATTGATGGAGTTGAGAACCTCTCTAATTTTACACATTTCAGCGCGTATGAAAATGACGCATCTTCGTTTTAACATCAACAAAATCGGCGTATACAAACTGAAATTTTCCGCGGAGTACAGATAACTTTTTAATAATACATATTAGTAATAATTTCTACTGGGAATTATGTTATTCATTGAAATCTTCATGTTCTAAATGCAGCAGTTCTAAGTGAATGAATGCGAAACGATTATGACGCGAGTATTGCACTCACGATATTCCATGAATCAAAATACTAACTACTAGTTATTTTAATTTAATTGATAAAAAAACAAAACACAACACCACCTGCTAAGTCAGCATTTGCTGTTTCAGAGTTTTTTATTTTTTTTTTCAAATTCAAATCATTTCTATTGCGAATACAGGTTATTGTTGTGTACAAACATACAAATTACACATATATTTAGTTCAGACATTCTGTACTGTTGACATGCTAAATTAGTTTGTTAAGTTTGTAAGCAATCGTGAAAAAATAACGTTAAAACTATAGGCAACTGAAAAATGACCTTGTTTTCTTAATAAAAAAATAAGCCCAACTTCTCAAGAATTATCTCACTGTTCATTTAAGTAGTGCCTACGCGAATAGTTGCAATAAAAAGTTCTTATTCTATACTAAGGCCTCACTTTTGCACTAATATAAACAATATTTAACATCAAGTAATATCTAACCAAACAATGGTGTCGATTCTGGCGTGATTCTCTAAACTTAAAACTAAATTTAACATCAGTCTTTCCCTTTCATTCTGGATGACAAAGATGCACTGTTGTCAAATTTAAGTTTAGCTTTAGAGAATCATGTCAGAATCGACACCAATAGCTACATATTTGACCGTGTTCTGAAATGAGACTGTTGCTTGACCCGACTTGTAGTGAAAATTGAAAGTGTTCGCGACATCACGACAGTGTGGCCGCAGCATTAACTACGATGACTGAAATAGATCTACGGGGCTATGTGATAGTTTGAGTATTAGCGAATGTTGAGTATGTCTTATAATGTAGAAATCACATCAAACACGTATACGGACATTAATACATGCACTTATACCAAGTAATGGTCTGAAAAGAATAGTGGAAGACTTACTATTCAATCGCCTACAATATTTATTGAAATAAGCCTACACGCATAAAATGTTTGCGCTGCGAAAAGTTAATGGTGGCGCCTTATATATTTTTTTCATTTTCTTCATGTTAGCATGAAAGTGGACTGTACATTTGTTTGTCTGTAATAATAACATTTACGTTCTTGTGGGTCATGAAATACGAATCGAAGCAGTCAAAAAGTATAAATAAAAATATTTATTGAAACCTCTCTATATTTGTATCCATATCTGATGGATTTTATTTCATTCAATTTTGAATTGGTGCAGACATGTGCTAAAAAATTAATACAAATTTCCCTTGATCCTGCCTTACCTGAGAACGGCTTTACGGATTTCATTCTTCGCTTTTTTTTAGAGTTTTCTAAAACTTTGTGTAAGGTTGTTATAGGGGAAAAATAACAAAATTTTCCAAGAAAATAGTAATTTTAATTAAACTTAGCTTAGAACTGTATTTTTTTAGGAGGACGACATCTTATTTATAAAGATACTAGCTGTCCCAGCAAACTTCGTACCGCCATAAAAAATAGGGGTTGGTGGTAGAAGAGTGAAAATTTTGGGTTGTATAAAAAAAAATATGTCCAAAAAAAATTAAGGGTGGACAATCCTTAACATTAAGGGGGATGAAAAATAGATGTTGTCCGATTCTCAGACCTACTGAATATGCATATAAAATTTCACGAAAATCAGTCGACCCGTTTCGGAGTAGTTCAATTACGCACACTGTTACACGAGAATTTTATATATTAGATAAATTATTTGAGCCATTGTTTTTTGTAACGTGTTTTTTGTTTGTGTGTTGCAGTGTGCAACTTCATAGTGCACGAACGATGCGTGGGGCAAGTGGTGACGCCGTGCTGTGGGGTGGCGCCGAGCCTTATCAAGGTAATAGTTACTTTATGTTTTATAATATTACCAAGACGAGACCATATGACTCGCTCTAACTCTACAAGGTCTAACTTCAAAAACTCTACACCTTATAGCGCAATTACATTTGGTCGTTAGCGATTCGCGTCTAGCTTCATCGTGCGGACTGCCAAACTGTGGAATTCCTTGCCTGAGCCCTTGTTCCCCGAGCACTACAATCTAGCGGTCTTCAAAGCAAGAGTGAACCGGTTTTTATTAGGTAAGCGCGCTCCATCGTAGACCATAATATTGCTTTTCATCAGGCGAATTATGGTCAAGCGCTTACCTATTACCGAATAAAAAAAAACCCGTATTCGGGTGCACGAAAGACATCACTCGAATTCGGGCACCCGAAGTAATATTTACACTGGAATACGAGCTGGAAGGAGGTATCGGTTAAACAAAAGGAAATCTATCCGAATATTAGCGTACTCGACATCGTTCATGTAAATGAAGTGTAAACTTATAGTAGGGGAGCCCACGATGCTAAATGGGGATTTACTGATTTTTAACCGTCGGATTATTGAAATACACACTTTTCAGCATGTAATTAAACCACCATACCTTAATCTGACGCGCTCGAGTATTTCCGCCTATAGTTTTTTTTTACTATTCTGATCGGCTGGTCTACATGCGCGGCACTACATGGAGACCTCAGATTTAGTAGAGGTACTCTACTAGATGCAAAGTATCTTCCCATATATTAATCTGCTGCGCTAGAGTATTTACTCTAGCGCAGGAATTGGGGATTTCCCCAAATCCCCTCTTGGGCTCCCCTATTATAAGTCGTTTATCCGAGTTCCATTGGCACTCGTATATAACCTAACGGCTAAGTGTGATTGCGCATTAGTTAAAATAACTTGAAATGTGGATATATTATCACGCCTACCATATTAAAAAAGCAGGGATGTCTTCTAATACCTTTCCCTCCTTATTAATAAACGAAGATTAGTTTTTTTTACTCCATTTTTTGTCTCCGTTCATTGAATGACAAATGGTATTTCAGTGGTGACTTAGTGTCGCTGCACACAGGCCACCGACCACAACCAAAACGCCGCCACCGGCATATTTCTTGTAGTTTTCATACATTTTATATGGAATCGCACGGTATGCCGGTGGCCGCCACTCGCTACAAATCGTCGTTGCTCGCTTCTTGTGGCCCGCACCGGCCACTTAATGCGCCGATACAAAACGCCGCCACACGCCACTTGCGCGATTCCCCACCCCTCTCTCCCTTGCCTTAGTCGGCCGCTGTCGCGCGCTTCAGCCACTTTAGTAGCCGCTTCTAGCTTCTCGTGGCGGCGTTTGTGGCTGTGGCGTGTGGCCCGTGTGCGGCGACACTTATTCCGCGTTTATTAATAACGGGCATCGTATTTTTGTTTTACACAAGTCCTGCTTATTGTTTCAGAATCCAGTGGCTCACTGCTGGTCAGAGCCCACTCACCACAAACGCAAGTTTTGCACGGTGTGTCGAAAGAGGCTCGATGAATTACCAGCCTTACATTGTATGAGTAAGTTGCCTTATAATACCTACCTAAATACTACGAAAAACCTTTTTTAATCAAAACACATACATGTAGGATGGATGATAACCGTAATAAGTATATCCTTTGCTGTTCCCGTAGCATGAGCACCACAATTTACACTATCTTACGTTTTTTATCGCATCTAACTGTCAAACTCCATAGTAATTTGACATTGAGCGTGATAAAAACGCGATTTATATCATATCGAGGTGCGCATGCTAGGCGGGCTGGACAGGCAGCGTAAGACGACCATTAAATACACCAGCTCTTTCGTTCCAGCTTGGAATAGTTTTACTGTATAGAAGGAAATAAGCAGTTTATATTGCTTGTCAATTGATCGTGACTTTACTTGAACCTGACCTGTCATTTTTAAGCCAAAAATTATATAAAATTTTATTAGTTCAAAACAACACACAAAGATCAGAAAAATATCAAAAATTTGGAAAAAAATAACTTTAAACATTAATAAAGCCTATTATAATATATTACAGTTTTTTCAAGATAAACATATCAGAAATAATTTTATATTAAAAATTCTTAATTGTGAAAATTATATACCTAGTAATATCTATAATTTTTAAATTATATATATATTTTTAATTTTAGAAAGATACATGTATAACAACATTTCATAGTTTATTCAAATAGTTTCATTTAAGTAAAATTGCAACGCCCTTGCAGGGTTTCACATATTTGTGCAACTTAAGATATTATTGTTTTTGTACTATCTGTGGCACGCAATAAAGAATAATTTGTTCCCAAATTAAACGGAGCCTGAGGTTTATTTATTTAAGTAGATATATAAACAACCATGACCATGCTTGACTGAAGCTGAATATACCTGCGCACCCCACAAATGTTTCTACCGGGATTCGAACCAGGAGCAGAAGGCCTTTGGCGGGTATGAGGATAACGGGTTGCCACAACTGACCCGCACTCTTGACAGCAATACAGGAACCGCGGTTCTCGAGAGTGCGTTTTGGGTGACTGGTACAGGAGTATTGTCTGGTTTTTACTGGGTGAAATGACAGTGAGGAGCCCATCGCCCGGTCCACTCGTTGGGCCGGGCCGGCCCGGGGGCGTCCCGGTGAAATGGCGCACACAGGCGCCGATCCCGAGACGCCCCCCTCAAGGGCGTAGGAGGGCACCGGTGGTTTTTAGTGGGTAGGACCAGCGCTGTTCCGCGCCGGGGAGTCCCACACATGTCGCGCGTCTAGCCAGTACGGTCCGTAAATGGATTTTCCACCGTCAACAAAAAAAAGGGAGGAGCCCTCAGAACCCTGTTCACCTTTCTCCCGGGTGGGCGAAGGTTGTGGTCACGCATTTTACAGAACTGAAAAAAAGAGCAGAAGGCAGTCGAATTATGTATGTAGTACAAACTTAGTTTTAAGTTTAGCATTTTTTGATAATTGTCTAACATTAAAAATGACACAAAATCGTTTCAACATTTTATTTTTTTCTCTTTTTAGTATGAATCCGTAACTACTTTCAATATCAACAGTACAATACAAAGGTGACTGATAAACATTTGAATCGTTATGCTAGCGTTCACATTTAATATTTAGTTTCACAGACAATAGTCTTAAACTGCGTTTCCACTTAAGCTCAGAATAATTCCGAACGAACAAACATTTGCTCGCTCGGTAAATGGAAACTACAGAGCGAGCGATCAAGTTGTACATCGATGTTTGACTGGACTCATGAAACGAAGCTCTCTTTCTCAGTCATCAATGGAAACCACGCAACATTGTTTTATCATGCCATTTACTAAGCGAACAAATTTTGGTTCGTAGAAGTGAAGCAAACGCTCGGTTCGCGCTAGTTAGATATGATATACATACATTCTATCCATTAAATAATAACTCCTTCTAATTATTGGACTGGAATAACTTAACCTAACTAAGGATTTAAGACTACTATCATCATGATCTAGCTAATTAATGTCGCCAATGCTAGGACACAGGCCTCGTCTACCGTAGGCATAGAGAGAATGGTTTGGTGGGTAACGACTGCAGATGTAGCCGGAACTAACGCCTTATCGTGCTTTTAAAAGCACTGAGGAGTTCCTCCAAATAATAATTTTTTTTGACCCATCAACGCACCGTACGCGCTAACCCCTACGCCATCGAGCTCCTCTAAACTATGTATCATCCAATGATACATTATTTCTATAGATATGTTACGCTCATAGTTATTGCGTTTTAAATCTGTTCCAATCATGTTCCACCTTCAAATGTTTTCTTGTGCATAGAGTAACATTTATACAATACAAGACGCTCCAATTGGATTGTCTTCGAATCTTCACAGCGTGCGCGTTTATGAAATATCAGATTTTTAAACCATTGATCATAAATAATCTGTTTGCGCAGTATGCGAGTACTACGTCCACGGCGAGTGCGTGGACTTCGCGGCGGCGGACTGCAAGGAGAACGCGACGTACTGCGCGGGCAGCGAGCCGCGCCACGTGCACCACTGGCGCGAGGGCAACCTGCCCGGCAACTCCAAGTGTGCCGCCTGCAGGCGCGCCTGCTGGTCCGCCGAGTGCCTCACCGGCTACCGCTGCGAGTGGTGCGGCAGTACGGTCAGTGTCACACGTATAGACAATTGACAAACGACACGACGACAATTTAACAAATCTCATAAAACAGAAAAAGTAATCATGTATTATTTACATCTCTTTCACAGCTTTGTGTCAATATTTACTTCACAGTTATATGGAACGCTCAGTCCATTTTCTATGTCTATGGTGTTACAGTATACAAAACTAAGTGTGCGTGCAGAAACATCCTCCTACAACAGATAATTGACAACTGCAGCCAAGTAACGCTATTCTGTTCTGTAACACTTTTTCTGCAATAAGGTTTTAAGGGCTCCGTCTGGAGTAAGGGAATATAGGGTTCAGTGGCTGTGGCTATCTACCCAATTTAATAGATTTACCAACACATGAAGCTACTCTACGTCTACGGTAATGATGGCCTTACCATCAGGCATCAGGTTATCACACTATTAAAAACGACGAGTTGGATTTGCAACAAGGCCTTTGACAATTGGTTGTTTACAGTGTCACGCCGGATGCCGCGCCCTAATCCCGGAAGAATGCAATTTCGGCATGCTGCAGCCGATCTTCCTGCCGCCGTCGGCGGTCTCCATCCCGCGCACGGAGGTGCCGATGGAGGCCATCATCGGCGTGCACGTCCGCCCGCCGCCGTCGCAGCGCGACTTCGGCTGCCGTAAGTGTCTGCTTCACAGCGCCCAGCGCCCGAAGCGGCGGCCGCAGCGCTTTTGGTGCCATGTGCCTCGCAATTCGCGGTGCTTGTAATTACTTAGCCGCTTTTAGAAACATCAACACGGCCTGCTCTCGAACGATCGGACGCTAGTTCGAACCTCACGTCACGACGGTTTTCTCCTTCTCCATTTTTACAAGGTGTCATTTGGCAGCGCGCGATTGAATCAAGAGATGTTGATAACATCTTATACTGTATCTTCTTTGAAAATACATATAGACAATTTATTATTTAAATCAAATTATTATTGAAGTAATAAGACAAAGGAATATCAAATTGCTCACAATCTTCGTCTCTTGTCTCGATCGTGCTCGACTAAATACAGCCTTCATAGATAGACTTTTCTTACGAACAATTAGGTACATACAGCATTCCTTCTCACCACATTTTCGAATATTCGCTTCCGCCTTAGCACAGGGGTGATCGGGGCTAGCAAAGCGTTTGGGAGCGGGGCGCGGCTTCGGTTGTCGAGTGTCGATCTTTCCGCGAATTTCCGGTAGAGGGTAGTTAGCGCGAATCGCGCGGCACATGGGGCGGGTAAAAGCGTGCGGCGGCGGCGTGCGGAGTGTGAGCGGTGTCTTTGGGCAGCGCACGACGAGGCGGCGGGCTGGGCGCCGGCGCGGCTGGTGACGCTGGCGCGGCGGCTGCTGCCCGCCGCCTGCTCGCCCCACGGCGGCGCCTCTCCCCCCTACTCCAGAGGTAACCCGCCCGCCTGTGCCCTGTGCCTAGCATGACCCACTCCTATATGCTACTTTACAGAGCCTCGAACACCATCACATCACCAAATCATCAGTCTTAAATTTTACTCAAGTACCTGACTTACTTTACTTACCTACGTCCATGTACATTAGTCCTTGACTGCTTAGTAGTTCGTAATTCTTTAAACATTCAGTTGACGATTGACACATGAGTATTTCCTAACTCGTGCGGTATACGTAGGTATCAGGTTCTTTCTTACCTCTTCAAATAACTACGCGCATTAGCCCACTTAGAATACAAGCATACCGAAATGTGAGAAAAACTACTACTAGTTTGAAAGAAAGAACTGTGAAGACAATACTAGAGTTTGAACTTTACAGATAAATGAAATAACAGATACAAAAGATACAACGTGATGTGATGATGTGATAGGCTCTCTACATGCACTAGACTGTTCTTGGATAGCATTGTGTTTCTAATGCTGACATTGCTGGAAACATTAAACAGTAATTGATATCAGAAACTATATGTAGTGCAGCTGAGACGGCTCTAGCAGGCTTTGATTGTACGCTTCATAACTTAAACACGCGCTCTGGCTTTCATATTAAAAATGATCTAAAATTAATTTTAAATCTAAATAATTCATAAATCAAAAGGAGAGTTCCAAAAAGAGAAAACGGAATACAGTAACCTACTAAAATTATTTATGTTCAACGAAACTAGCGCTTTGTGGTTTGCCAAACGCCTCTGTGGTTGCGTATGTCCGAAGCAGGATATAGTCTCTATTTTCACTGACCTAGGTTGCGTATTTATCAGTTTGTAAATGAACATTGAAATTAGATAATTTAAAATTCTGATTGATGATTTTGAACATAATATCGTCAATTCCATAGTAAACTTACGAATTTAAATTTCATAAAATCTACTACGCCAAAATATCGTATATTAATTTGGTAAGTTTACTTTGGGTGTATAAACATAAAATGCAGATTCAAACAATCAGACTTTAGGAACCATCATTGATAAAATTGTGTGACTTTTCCCTGGTGTTAAGTACCTACCCCATTATGTGCAGTTTTATTTATTATAGATTTTTACTAAAAAAGCAGATTCGTAAGTTTGCCGTAGATGTGAAGATATGTATGATTAGTTATTAACGGGATTGTTACTACCTTGCTACCTTGTTTTTTATGAGTCTCCGATGTTTCGGCACTGTTGCAAGCCTCATAAAAAACAAGGTACATGGTAACAATCCCGTTAATAGCTATAATGTTAGTGACCATGAAAGTTTAAAACTTGATGATGTTACGGAATAGTAACAATGAGAAAAGCGAGAGAACCATATAGTTACAAAAGTTAAGGTACAGTGAAATTTCCACTCGAATAGCAAATGAAAAATAAATATTGACAAATTGTAACACCTTCTAAGGAAGAAACCTCCACATTACAAATGATCAAAGTAAAATTTCACTACTTTTTCGTGATGTGAGTAGATTTTTATGAATACGTGATATATCATAAGTGGGAACTACCAGGGGCCCATTAGCTTAACGGAAATGCTTTGGAAAACGCTGACGCTTTCGATTTTATTTTGTTATTTCTGACCGCCGAAGGTTTTCAAATACCACGCTCATTTTTTATAATATTTTTATAACCAATGTAAAAAAAAGAGCGCGTGGTATTTGAAAACCTCAAGCGGCTAGAAATAACAAAATGAAATTGTAAGCGTTAGCGTTTTCCAAAGCATTTCCGTTAGGGCAATGGCCCCCAGGAGCTATTCAATAGTAAAAAAAATCTTCTAAGATTTTTGTGAACAATGTTATTCTTATTTAGAAAACTGGGCAGGTTGTTTTACGTAACTGTCTGTCGAGCGACTCTGCAGAATAGGTAAATCCTTAAGTTTTTGTGCTGTAATGATAAACTGTTTAAAGTATTCAAATAAATGAATAAAAAAAAACAACTAGTTATTATTATACAAACCAGTCTTAAAATTTTTGTAACCATATTGTTGATGATGAATCAGAATAAAGTGACCGGTAGTCTACCAAGTTCTTCGAGTGTAGGTGTTGGCAATCGTTGATAATATATAAATATTTCCAACACTCACACCAATTAGCCTAGCCCCAAAGTAAGCACTGTAAGGCTTGTGTTATGGGTTGCTAGGGTTACGGATAGACTATAACTATATATATATAAAGTATATTTATAAAGAAATACATATTAAACATCCACGACTGGAGTACAAATGCTCGTATGCATCACACAAACATCTGCTCCCACCGGGATTCGAACCCGGGACCTGGAGTCGGCGACACCATGAAACCCGGCGTAGAAACCACTCGGCCACGGAGGTCGTCAAGTCATGAAGTAATATTATTAAAGGATCTAAAATATCGAAGCATTTACATGTTTTCTTTATATGTGAACTTCTCCTTTTGAGAGCATATAATAATACCTATCTAACCAATATAAAGCAAGAACTTGTACGTGTATAAATAAATTGCTGTTAATAAAAACCTAAATCTTTACGCTACCTACTTCTCAGACCGCGCTGCATGCTCGTATTTTTATAACGCTTAATAATCTTATATCTATTAATAAAACAATCGATTATACAAGACTAAACACTGATACTATATGTGAAACTTTTTTGCACAATTCATCGACTAAAATTATTGTATAACATACATTTCTTTCTTCAAACAATTACGACCGTTGTTTTGAAATCAACGCCTTGTTCGAGTCTCTTTTGACATTCTTATATGAAACTACAAGATAAAATCAATGAACAGCCAAAAGAGTTTTCTTGAGTTTTAAATATGTTTATGTAGAGTAAAAACTTAAGCAACTTAGCAATAGAGGCGATCTTGTAGTTTTGTAAAACGAAAGGTTTCAGAATACTCAAACCACCCTATAATTATTACAAGTTTTTTTATACCTCATCTCATTTGAGATTGTAAGCCGACCTCAAGAATACTCGTGATGTAGTATTCCACCGGCGAAGGTAAACAGATAATGAAGAACATAACAACATATTTATATTATTAATAACGCAATAAATAGTTTAAATTGGATTATAATCTAAGCTACCTAATCATAATTCACTAACAACGTCTTCACACTAAAGACTATAAGAATTAAAAATTGCTTCCAGAAGTAGATGTTCCAGCACTTTTGGCTGATAATCGTTTGAGCTTCTAAATTATGAATGGGAAGAAAATATATGAAATTTCCAAACCGACCAAATGTTATAAACAACTCCAACTTTTCCTTTTCTGAAACACATGATTAAAGATTGAATTGTTATTGTGTTAAGAATTGTTATAGGTGCTTTAGTGTAAAGACCATAAGTGTGCTGCTAGTACATATTAATAAAATTGGCTTTATAGTATCTTAAAAAGTGTAACTTAGGATGTCCAGTTCATAAAAATTATCTGTGTGACATATCTGTGTTTAAGATTATATGAAATCAAATGCCCTGGCTAACACAAGCTTTTGAAAAGTAATGAAAGTAAAATTGTTAAAAGTAAAGTTGTTTTTAATACAATAAAAAAAAACAAATGAAAATTAAATCAGATATCAATCAAAAACTAAAAATCCTACTGTACCAAAATGGCTTTCGCACAGCATTATGCCGCAGCGACCTCCTGCGACGCTGGTATTCTGCTAAACCCGCAAGGGTAGGCGCACAACGCTAAATAAACGAACTCAATAAATTTTCGAAATCGGTTCATGAAACAGTTTAAAGATCGAGGCTAACGAGCATAGGGCTGAGGGACGGGGGGCGCATGTAAGCGATGCGGGTGTTACAGCTCGCAGCGTGAGCGAGGAGTTCAGCTCGGGCTGCGAGGGCCGTTCGGGCTCCGGCGGCGGGTCGACCGGCGCCCCCGCCGACCAGGACCACAAGCCGGACCACAAGCAGCACAGGGACCGGACGCCTGACGACAGGGATGAAGGTAAACCTAACTCATGTGTCTACGTCTAGCATACTCACCATGGAATTTCAGTATTTTCAAAAATGCCAATATTTTTAATATTCCCAAAAAAAACCCAAGGAAAAACTTGCGCTGTTATATTATAAAAAGCATTAGGCATATTTTGGTGAGTATGCTAGGCCTTCGTGTATCTTCACTGTGCAAGCTGCAGTTAAGTTGATAAAGCACTTGTGCTACATGTGGAAATCGAAACAACGTGCCACCTTTAAGTCTTATTTCACTTTTTCATTCAATATAATAGGTTTTTTGCAATTTTATAGGAAACCGCTTTTATGATCATGTTTAATTTCGAATAAAGAGCTCGTGCCATAAGGTACATCTTTGTTAGATACAGCTCACCTTTGAGCCCTCTTTCCCTAAGCGTACCGCTGCGTTATCTCAGCCACCGACCTAAGGCTGCATATAATGGAGCTGCTGCCTATATGCATAAACATGATTCTAACAGCAGAAGCAACGGCAGTTGACTTTAGGTACTCATTATACAGCAGTGTTCAATGCAAGCGTCAAACCTTTCCGACCTTTAAGGCAAGAGTAAATAGGCATAATTTGACTTTCCGTGCTCCAGCTTAGACCACATCGTTGCTTAATATCAGGTGCGATTGTGGTCAAACACACTCAAATCTTATATTAAAATAAATGATTACAACCAACTGACAACTGATTAACAACGCACCTCATCTCTGGTAGTAACCTCAGCCGTGTTCTCTACAGCAGTAGTGAAGGTGTACTACTCCATTATAAACAGCTGGGAATAGTATAGCGACGATCCTCATATCCAGTTACAACCACTGCCGTTTTGTCGACAGCAGTAGTGAGGTGTACGACACTGTTATAAACAGCTGCTAATAGTTTAGCAACGCGCCTCATCTCTGCTTGTAACAACTACCGTGTTTTCGACAGAAGTAGTGAAGGTGTACGACGGCGAGGCGGCATGGTCGCGTCGCCTGTACCGGCCCGTGGTGGTTGGACGCAACTGGAACGAGCGGGAATTGGTCGCGGCGGCGCTGCGGGCGTTCCATGTCGTACGGGACCCCGACTTGTTCGAGCTGACGGACGCGCTAGCCGGCGACGAGCCGCCGCTGCGGGACCCCACGCCCCTGGCGCGCGTCACGCGGCTGCCTAACAAACGGCCCGCCCTGTTCCTTCGCTTCAAGTAAGATGTTCCTATAGACCTGGTATCATAAGAAGCGTTCTTAGTGGCGCGGGACCCCGACCTGTTCGAGTTCACGGACGCGCTAGCCGGTGACGAGCCGCCGCTGCGGGACCCCACGCGGTGTACATAAATTATAAACGAACGAAGAGAAGCCGACGATATACATATGCACATCACTACCCTACCACGCATTTGATTAAACGTTTCAAACTCAACTTATACGAGGGTATCCTACGACTAGATTGCTTGAACCAATACCGACTCCACTTTGGCCAATCTCAAAACAGTAATTATATAGCTGTTTTGTTTACAGCTATACTAACGGTAATGCCTCGCGTAAGTGTGAGCCCAATAACTTTTCTACCTAAAACATGAGAGAACGCAGCTAGAGCATCATAAAAACTCATCTTTTGTTCAGATTAAGTGGGTTCATCATGTTCTTGAATACTTGACTTTTTAACACGATAGGCGATTTTCGACCAACCGACCAATACTCCTCGTGCTAGATTTCGAACGATCTGCTTCGATTGAGAACAAAAGACTGGCGGCGGCATGATGCTAGTATACCCCTTTTCTTGGGTAAATTCCATAGATGGTCCAAGCCTCGTGCTAGATAACTAACGGTGTGATTCTATAGGGAACTAGAGACTGGTGGCGGCGAGGTGAGAGTGTACCCCGGGCGGGTCGCGGGCGCCGGCGACACGTTTGTGACGGTGGAGTGCCGCGGAGAGGATGCCGTCACAGACCTGATGGCCGCCGCGCTCGAGAGATTCGGCCTTGACCCCACCACCGCAGCCAACGACTACCGCTGCTCGGAGATCCTGCTCGACCGGGGAGGTGAACCTAATTTATACTAGACTTAGGTTAAGTTCAGATGGCCGTGCGTCGTCGTCGCACGTGATGGCGCGTCAAAGTTCTGACAAGCACACGATTACCCTCATCAATTTTTCGCTTCCCCATACAAGTCGCGCGAGTCATCTGAACTTCGAACTCAACGGCCACGTGTGTAAATGATTATGGAACCATGGAACACATGCATTTTCCAACCTGTTTATTTAAGACTAGCGGCGCCCGCGACTTCGTACGCGTGGAGTCATATATTGGCTAGGCTAATTGGTGTGAGTGTTGGAAATATTTATTTATTTATGTATAGATATCTATCTTGTACTCATCATACTATAGAACAGTACAAGCTATGATTATGTGGCTAGATTATTGTTGTACTCATAACAACATTTATTAATCGGTCTACTCATAAATACGTGTCTTACGTTATAGATTCCAGTTACGTTTTATTACAAAGTAGTGTAGAGCTGTAGTGTAGACTAAAAATGACTCATTATATAATTAAAAAAAAAATAACTGAAAATGGTATATTTGCCTTTTCCAAACTTCTATTGACATCACGTCATTCAATTGTTTTGCCTTCCCGGAACTTCTCCACTAACAATTGAAATTTATGGTATGGTACAAAAGTTCAAATTGACTTTTAAGTATTATTACGAATCGTTTGTATGGGAATATAGAAAAGTGTTGTTTATGGACTTTTTCAAGCAGTTTTTTTTAATTTTTATCTGCGTAAGCACCATCCTCGTACTTCAAGGAATATTCTAAAAAAAGAATTATCGAAATCGGTTCAGCTGTTCACGAGATTTGCGCTTAGCCACACATTCAGCGATTCATTTGTATTTGCGTATTATTTGAGTGGGTACTCGAGGAGGAGGAGCGGTCGTGGCACATCGTGGTGCGTCTGGCTCGTGAGCCGGTTCAGAGCATGAAACTCGCGCCCTTCTACCTGATCTCCGTCCAGTGGCGGCGCTAGGCGTCGGCGACGTCGGCCATCGCCGACGGCCTCGCGCCTGAGGGGGTCTCGCAAAACTTTTTTACAAGTTACCTATTTATTTTCGTTTCTGCTGGCCTGGCTTAGGTAGCCGACCCCTAACAATTCGGGGGAAAAAGTTAAGCAGATGATAATGACTTTTGTTATTTTCGAACACGTCCGTGATGGAAGCGAGTAGTACTTTACAGGTATTCAGAATCGTCTGTCTGGCAACACTATTTTTGCAATTAAATTTCTATGTTTGTAATTATTTTTGTCATCATTGATTATCAACAATAAAACTCCTTTACTCATACTTTATTTTATAATTTGGCTCACTTAATTTAACGGTTTTTTACTGCGAAGAAAAATAGGTCTCACGAACTTGATGTCGCCGACGTCCACATGTGGTCTAGCGCCGCCACTGTCTCCGTCCATCATTATAACAAATGCCGTATTTGCAGTGTCGGAACGCGTGCTTGAAGAGGAGGAGCGGCCGTGGCGGATCGTAGTGCGGCTTGCGCGCGAGTCGGTGCGGCGTATGGAGCTGGCACGCTTCTACCTGCAGCCGCGCCGCGACCCACATGGGCCCACGCTGGCCCTTTTCGTAGCATCGTTGCCGCCCGGCCTCTCCGAGCGCAACTACGAGAACATCCTGGTCGAGTTTCTGGGAGCAGGTGACTTATGCTACCTACCTTTAAAAACGTCTTTATCATTTCAGGAAAATCAACCGACAAAACACCCACATTCTGATAAAACTTTAGCCGCCAGTTATTCTATTTTTAGAAAGCCGATGATTGCTGTTTATGTGTAACCATTTCAGAATAGTCAACCGTTCGTTAGCAAGTTAATAAAAACCCATTCATGGCCTGCTAAATCTTTAGGATTGAACGCCCTGAAAGAAAGCATACATGGAACGTAATCGCCCATGGCTGGACATGACGAAAAAATAGCTCCCTAAGACGATAACTAAACATCATAAATATTTTTAGAAATAACAATCTAAATATAAAGCTCGTATTATCGTTATCAATGTGAACATTTGACTTGTCCGTTACTCTTATGTTTTATATTTTTTATTTTTGATGTATTTAACTGCCAGATGTTTAATCTAAAAAAAAATATTGTTAAATGCTTCAAAAATAAAAAAAATATAACTACAATTGGGTACACTTCTAAAGGTATTCCTTTGACATTGTGGCCTACAATGCGAAGAGATAGCCGCTGCCTCGCAGCCTAAGAATTACTGGAAGATATTCGCCACGGCCATCAGGGCCGCGATAGCATAATAGTCAGTGCGTCCGCCCGGACTGCCTGGTCCGCTTGATATGTTTTTCTAGTAAAATTTTCTTTAAAAATGTTTGTTATTTTAAAATCTCTTTAAAGTTGTGATTTTTTGGCTTGTTCAGAAAACAAGTTCACTTCGATCGGACCGATATACTACGAATACGGGTCGATGGTGATCACGTATGAAGACGCCAGTAAGGCAGTGAGAGCGCTGTACGCGCTGAGAGAGGCCAAATATGAAGATAAGCATTTATTAGGTACGTATTCAAAAATTCCAAATTTAATATCGTTCATTCAGTCTACGCTGTAACAAGCACTTGTGAATGTCGCAAAGCTACGCCATCGGTTCGCAAATCTACGGCTGGAGACCTTGTACTGAGAAGAACCGGCAAGAAACTCAGCAAGGGCTGTTTTTTTCTCTCTGTATTAAACAAAGTCGTCAAATTGAAATTGACTTCAATATGAGATAACTCATGAAGTCACTTTCCATTACAAATGTAAATGATATTAAAATTGTGACTTTAAAATAAAAAAATATAAAAAAAAACTGATTTAATAAAGTTTAGGAATGTTTAGGAATGCCGTGTCCTACTGTTTAGGCATATGATATATTATATGAACATTGAGAATAATGTAGCTGAAACTCCGAGGATCCCATAAAGGATTGCAATAAGGGTTAGTGAACTTAGTGAATACTTCTTTCTGGTCTATATGCTATGATTTCGCTTACCTTCAGGCAGACCGCGTCCATTATATCAATAATATGCTTACTTGCAATCCTAATAACATTAAAAATCTGTGTACGTGGAAATTGAGATCTTATCTTTCTTATTACGTGATTAATAACTTCATCTGCCTTTTCAGTTGTCCTTTGAGAATGTCCTATTTCTAAGATACAGTGATTTTTTTTGTTAGGTAAATGCGTGACGCATACCTCGCCCCTGTTAAAAAATGAGGAATTCCTCCACCCATCCAGCCAGCCAATGGGAACAGCTCAATGCCCACAAAAAACCTAACAGTTCCTCCTTAGCAGCCGGGATAGGTGTTTAGGTATCTTAATACTCTCCACATTTATGACTGTCGCGTAATTTAACTTTTCTCATAATATCTGGGAATTTTACTTGACATTGGCCGAACGTACAAACCGTGCTTGCCACAAAAAAAAAAACAAAAATGCCTGGGAAATGTTCTCTTACGCAACCTTCAGCCACCGGGAGAGCAAGAAGAAGGTAACTGGGTAAACTAAGTCCTCCTTAGTCACTTGAAATGAGCAGGGCTCTAACCAGTAAAAACAAAACAATAGTCCTACACGGGTCCCCGGTACGCATTCTGAGGACGGAAGTCCCCACAATACGCGCCGGCACTGAAAAAAGCTTCGAGTTACTTATAAGAAAAAAATTGTAACATTGTGTGTACATTAAAAAAAGTGACTACTTAACTATAGTTACTAGTAGACAAACTCGGTTTTGTTAAAATAGTTTTGTTGTTATAACAAAGAAGTTGTGAAAAAATTACAAAACTGTTTTGTTAATTATTACGCTTGTTCAGCAGTAATTGGTTACAAAATGATTGCTTCAGTATAGCTTCACTATACAGTTATTTGTAACCCAAACCCAACTAGGTATTTTGTTATCTGCAACATAATATTGTGATGAATTATAGTTGTATGTTAAAATCTTACTTGCAAAAGCACTTTATGCCTTTATGCTTTAAAATTCTGAACGTACTACTTACTAACAAGTAAGTATTAGGGTTAACAGGGGATTAACGTAATCATTATACCCTGGATCCCGATTTATTTTCAAATACAAATTTTATAAACTTACCTCATATATATGCACATAACAATCTCTATAGCGCGATTCAGCGGATATACCGAACATTTAACAAGACACGTACTTGTAATCTGATACCGAACTTTTTGGCTAACAGTTACATCACTTTTCAGTTATTCATAGCGGTTTTTGTGCTTGCTAATAAATAGCACAAAATAGTTGTAGTTTGGCCAACTCTTTATCGAAACCGAATTTGTCAGCTTATAACAAAACGGCTTAGTAGTTTTGAACTAAACTCGATCAACTGAAATGATAATGTAAAATGCAACGGAACAATTGGTCAATGAGTTAACGAAAATTATTTATTTGTAAACTAAGTTTGGCTATTCTTCGGTTAAGTCAACTTGTTTTGTAAATTACATTTTGAAGTAGGGAGAGCTGGTGTTGTCGCGGTAACCTTTTACGAATTGCCGCGCACCCGCAAGGGGATGAGGATGACCCGGAACATTAGGGGCATCAGCTTGTCCAAAATATATAGTAATTAATTTTATTAGCAAATAGTCACAGCTCGTGTTTTCTAGTGATGCTGCTGCCCAGCATCGAGCCGTCGATGGTGCCGGCGGGCGTGAAGCCTCTGCTGGTGTTCGTGAATGTCAAGTCGGGCGGCTGCCAGGGGCTGGAGCTCATCTCCTCCTTCCGGAAGCTCCTCAACCCCTACCAGGTGTTCGACTTGGAGAACGGCGGCCCGCTGCCTGGGTGAGATCACACTGTCAACAATGTACTCAGTACCTATCAGGCATACAACGACAGATTCGTCAAAGCTGTTTGTATTTAAAGCTCTTCAAACCTAGCCGTACCAAAAGAGAAAAGAAAATCTCTGAGCCGACAAAAAGGCTAATGGAGGATAGCCGGGCAATGGTTCTGCAATCTTCTAAAGATTTTCATTGACGTCGGCAGCCAAATAAACAGATCTCCAAGTCTTTGACTCGCGACAGAGCGTAATAGGCTGGCCATCAAGCGAAACAAAGGCTGTTAGCCAGAGATCTTTTGTTGTTACTTTGTTCTAATTAACATTACTACACCTAAACGTACTTTGTACTGAATTCACGAATTAATGGCGCTAAATGCTGCATTAATAAAAAAAATATATAATGGTAATTTTAAATTGTGCAATTAAATTTTTTTTCTTTTTCTTCTAAATATTTTTGTTAACTGGCTACAAAGGTTTTGGAGCGAAACAGGCCCAACACAAGTATTTTACAATTACTTACTGGGACCGTTTCATCGTTTTTTAATTGTATGCATTTATGTCAATAAAAATACTTTTTACTTTTTTATAATGGTAAAAAGTCATAAAAGTTTGCGCGTAATAACGATAACAGCAGCAAGGGCAAATTTCCACCCACAATATGTTATCGATTGTTGGGAAATATATTTTTTACAGTCATTAACTGATCATATTATCTTAAACCGGGCACACGTCCCGTTAGCTTGTGGGTTTAGCTACATCGCGCCAAAATTTTAAATTAAAAAAATTGCCGTCTTTCTATCAGTTCTTCTAATCTGTTACTAATTGCTCAATTACATTTGGTCGTTAGCCCGTATTCGGTTGCACGAAAGCCATTACTCAAATTTGGGCACCCGAAGCAATATTTACACTGGAATAGGGGCTGCAAAGCGATGGACGAAATTTTTTTTGGAAATGTTGCTGCTTCTGTTAAATCATCATCATTAGCCTATTAATGTCCCCAATGCTGGGGCACAGGCCTTCCCTATGGATGGAATAGGGAGATTGGGCCGTGACCCAACACGCGGACCCAGTGCAGTTTGGTGGGTGCTAACGACTGCAGATGCAGCCGGGACCAATAGCTTAACGTGCTTTCCGAAGCACGGAGGAGCTCGAGATAGTAAATTTTTGGTCACCCATCCAATGACCGACTACTGCGAAAGTTGCTGAACTTCAACGATCGCAGCCGAACGCGCTAACCACTTGCGCCATCGAGCTCCTCTTAATCTTGTTCTGTTAAATATTGATAAGGTTTGTGCGCCGAATAGGTAGTAAGAAAATACATTGGACGATTCAAAATAGCTTTTAATAAGCTAATTTAAATAAAGTAAAAGTACATTTCATTACACTAAAGAGGTTGGTATTAAATTAATTCTGACACGATCCCTTGGTGGCAGGTTGTACGTGTTTCGTCACATTCCCAATTACAAGATCCTGGTGTGCGGCGGCGACGGCACCATCGGCTGGGTGCTGCAGTGCCTCGACAACGTCGGCCAGGACTCGCAGTGCTCCAACCCGCCCTGCGCCATCGTACCGCTCGGGACAGGTACGTCATTTTACAATCACGCGTCTTCCAATCCCCATAATAGCCTGCGTAGACGGGGGACTTCTGTCCGCGGACTTTATTTTGTCTGCAGTAAAAGATCGCTTACACCTGCAACGGGTAACGCGACGGAAAAGTACCGCGTACTAAAACGTGACAACAAAATACATTATAAATAAACACATCTGTCTAATGTTTTGGCTATGTGAAAAAAGAAAAATAATAATTGTCCAATACTTTTTGATAATCTGACGGACGAAGAAAGAAAAGTGAGTCGTCATCCATTTTATGAACACGTATGGCACAGGCAACGACCTGGCCCGCGTGCTACGCTGGGGCTCGGGCTACACGGGCTGCGAGGACCCGCTGTCGCTGTTGCGTGACGTCATCGACGCGGAGGAGATCCGACTCGACCGCTGGACCGTCGTGTTCCACCCCGAGGACAAGCAGGACGAGCCCAAGGAGCTCTCCAAGCAGCTACCAGGTACTTTCCCAAAAAAATTTGATGTGACGTAAGGCCCCGTTTTCAAAACGTACCCCTTAATGGCACTTGGCGAATGTTCCACAGAATTGTACGTGTACGTGAAAAAAGCAACTCTACTTATGAAGCTAGAAAGAAAAACTAGAATTAAAATTAAGATCAACATGGCTATAAAGTTCACGTGTATCTTCGGAGTTAGTTATTACAACTGAAACCACTTACCATCAACTTGGAGGGAGACACTTTTAATTTTCTTAGTGTCGCCGCACACGGGACACACGCCACAGCCACAAACGCCGCCACGAGAAGTTGGAAGCAGCTACTAAAGTGGCTGAAGCGCGCGACAGCGGCCGACTAAGGTAAGAGAGAGAGGGGTGGGGAATCGCGCGAGTGACGTGTGGCGGCGTTTTGTATCATTAACTGGCCGGTGCGGGCCACAGGAAGCGAGCAACGACGATTTGTAGCGTGTGGCGGCCACCGGCGTACCGTGTGTGGCTAGTCCATATAAAATGTATGAAAACTTCAAGAAATATGTTGGTGGCGGCGTTTTATGGTTGTGGTCGGTAGCCCGTGTGCGGCGACACTTAGTCGCCAATAAAATTTACAGTTGTTAGCGTTAAGTTTCATGTTCCATCGAGCGAGCTGTACATCAACCATATCATATCATACCACGGGATCTGTGACCGTCTGCTCACATTACAGCGTCTGTGACCACAGGATCGCAGAGTGAGGACAACTCGCAGATTCTGGTGATGAACAACTACTTCGGCATCGGCATTGATGCTGACCTCTGTCTGGACTTCCACAACGCTAGGGAGGAGAACCCTAACAAGTTTAACAGCAGGTACTGGGTTCAGAACAGTTCCGTGGTCTGTCCTCCTTGCATGATCACCGCGATATAATATAGTGTTCGTTTTCATCACGCTCAATAGGGTATTTGACAGTATTAAAAATAAAGTGCCAAATGTTAGCATCTGTGTTAAGAATGAATATTGGTAGGGGTTTTTACTATTTTTACAAAAAAAATATTCATAATTTTACTAAAAACCCACGAAACAGATAATAGTTTTCTTATCTTTTGTCACGTGACCCAAAACGCTTGGGATTGGCGGAGCCTAAAATGACGTCACACGCAAGTAAACTTCCGGTTAAAGTGACATTACATTGTATCGTTTGACGTTTTAATAACAGTCATGTGACGTCACACACTAGTAAGACGCCATATTGTCCAGAGAAACGTTTTCGAGGAAATTTGAAAATGGAGTTTTTGATTTGGTTATTTTTACATTAGTCAATAACTTGAGATCGTTTTCTAAAACTTGTCAAATACCCTATTGTCAAATTACTTAGGAGTTTGACATTTAGACGCGATAATAAAAGTGCTATAATGTATATTGTGGTGCTCATGCTACAGGGACATTTTATCAATAAATAGTATGCGCGGAAGTAACTTAACGAATTCATTCGCTGCTCTTGCCGCTAAATTATACTTGTAAAAATAAAACTTTTACAAGAACAGTGCAAGTGCGGTATGTGCTATTGGACACCTCATAAATGTATCTACTAAACATACATAGTTCCAAGTGCACAAAAGAAAATTATTAATTTACCATCACGACTTACGACATAGCATCAAAAGAATCATATAAACTATAAATACACGCAGGCATAAAGTAACATTCCCTAATAATGTTCATGTTTTTCGAAATTGTGCCTTACAGATTACGCAATAAAGGTGTGTATGTAAAGATGGGTCTTCGCAAGATGGTGGGTAGGAAGATGTGCAAAGATTTGCACAAAGCCGTCAAGCTAGAAGTGGACGGAAAACCTGTGGATTTGCCCGCTGTCGAGGGCATTATCATATTAAATATACTCAGGTTAGTACTTTTCGATACTAAATCCACTGGTACTCTAATTATAATAATAATATACAGTAAAACCCGCATATTACATGGTAGCAAAGCAAACAAAGACAGAAAGACTTTCCTAGCCTCTGGCAATTTTTAAAGATTGAAAAAGTTGTCTCGAAAAAATCGTTCCTGCTAACAAACTAAATGAAACATTATGGTAGCTGGGGATCTGGCGCCAACCCGTGGGGTCCGGAGAAGGACGACCAGTTCAACAAACCCAACCATTGGGACGGCATGCTGGAGGTGGTCGGCGTCACCGGCGTCGTGCACCTCGGCCAGATCCAGTCCGGCCTGCGCGGCGCCATGCGGATAGCTCAGGTACTAACCGATCCGGATCGAAGGACCAATGAAACAAAGTAACAAACTCGATCACGATATATTGTTTTAAACTTTCATGGTCACTAACATTATGGCTATTAACAGGATTATCACCATGTACCTTGTTTTTTATGAGTCTCCGATATTTCGGCACTGTTGCAAGCGCCATGATCACGGAGTAACTGAAGTAATTGCAGGTAGATGTAGAGGCAGACATATCGGTCTACCCTCTGACGTCATCTTTTACTGCGCTCGATACCCCTTGCAACGCGGCGCTTGCAACAGTGCCGAAATATCGGAGACTCATAAAAAACAAGGTAATAAATAAAAAATCGTGTCGGTAGGTTTATAGCAGCGGTGTAGCACCAGTTTTTCTTTATTAAGGATAACCTTGCAAACCCCGCCACCACGGCCGGATTTAAGGCAGGTCAGGTGGGACTGTGGCTCAAGGGCCGCATGGGTCACCAACGGGGGGGGGGGGGGGGGGGTCATTGCCCCAGGGCCTCTACACCTCTAAAACCAACCCTGTCCGCCACCTGATGTTAAGAGTAAGGGCAGAAAATTGGTTTATTCCAAAGTGGCATAACCTCTATCATGATCTTAAGCTGCAGACCTCTGTCCAAGTAGATAGAGCATCAGCAGACAATGCTCTTCAATCAGTTAAACTCTACTAAGGCAAGAGGCAACAATTTTTATTATCATATATAATGTACTCATAATCTCTTCTACCGATTACCATTTGCTAATACTAGTTTCACAAAATGAATTCCAGGGTGGACACATCAAGATCAACCTGAAGAGCGAGATCCCCGTGCAAGTGGACGGCGAACCGTGGGTGGCGGCGCCCAGCGAGGTGGTGGTCCTCAAGTCCGCCTTGAAGGTAACCACCAACCACTCGTGTCTGTGTTCTGTCTGCATGTGCTCGCTTCTATACTCACTCCGGTCCAATCGATACCCGACGACGACGTAACTTCGACAAGTTCCGCTCGATTGTAAAGATAATTCTAGACTTAAGTAGTTATTTTGTAACCATAAGTTTATTTAGATAATATCATTTTTATCACGAAACTTTAGGGCGCAAACTCACTCGCACGCTACGCAAAATCGAAAATGAGAATGTCGCTGTATTATGCCGCGGCCACACATTGTACTCTACTTTACGTCGAAGCTTGGCTCCAATTTAATAAGCCAATATCGTGCCCAATGAATACACCATACCATACATTGTATACCAACTTTGTAGCCAAACACTGGAATAAAACAATTGTATTGGCCCACTCTCAGTTGCAGTCGCAGAGCGAAAGACGATCCACTAGCGGATTACGCATATGGTTTAAGAACAAGATCACCAATATGCCGCACTCCCCTTTCATTCCCCACGCCTTTGAACTTGTTTTAAAAATTTGTTTCGCTATTGGGCATTGGACGGACTTTGGGCGTGTTCTTATTGTGTCCAAAGTCTGATCCATACATTGGCGTATTGGATGCAATACGTTACATTGTTGCAAATACGACCAATGTGTGACCGCGGCACAAAATGTATACTTTGATGCAATTACAGAAGAAATTACAATCGGAGAGAGTTTTTAAGATTGAGAAACATAAAAGTAAAATTTTTAGATGATTGTTTTTTGCACACTATCGAGCGGAAATTTGTCAGCTAGTCGCTTAAACTTTATCAAAATTCCCCGAGTCACGTAACGCCCGAGCACTCAAACTCCACGCAGCACCAATCCACCGCTCCGAGCCGCGCGGTCGCCGCCCGGCAACCGTCCGGCGGCCGCGCGGCTTGGACGACGAAAAAAAGACAAATAATATGTAACGAAACTACATAAAGTATCTTAAGCATGCGGAGGGTCGTCGCAAGTTAGTAAGTCTTGAAAGTTTTCCCCAGATCGGCCGATTTCGCGTGCGATACCAAGCTGCTTCCTAATTGATTTTTAAATGAGAATACAAAAACAATATATATACCAGTCGACGTATTTATCGAAAATAATAAAGTCTATACCTGTTGATGTATCCAATAGCCATGGGGATTGCGGTGTGACGCGGGGTTGAAGTGGGATGATGCAAACGGGATCAATCAGCTTAACAGTTCCGCGTCAAGTGGTTTTTTTACGTGTGGAGAAAGGACTCTTCACCTGATGTTAAGTGACGGTGAAGTCCAGAAGGAAAGACAGCTGGTACAGCAGTGGGTGCACTATAAACTATTGGGCGGGAGTAGGGCGCACGTAGGAGTAAATAAATAAATAAGTAATAGTAGCCGCATCGCACCGCTTTCCTCTGCATTCGTGCGTCACCGCTTCGCAAGCACCTGTAAGTAGGGCGCGTGCGCCTAAAAGTTACCGAAACCCGGTCTAGACTTAGAGAACCGATTTATGTAGAGAGTAAAATAACAAGAAGCGTGTACAGTCAATGCTTCAAAGGTGGAAAGGATCGTCACATCAATTTGTTTACTAACTGAAATAAAAATGTGCTATAAAAAATACTTTAATGTAATCTACATAGAGGTGGTTACAAAAGTATAGTATGCATTCACTGTGGAATATATTATACGGAAAGGCCATCAGTAACGTTTTGCATTCAAATTATTGACGCCACTTTTTATTCACAGTGAAAAAACGAAGCCAAAACTTATTCAGTCTAGTCTAAATCGCTCCGGTCGATACGCACGCCACGCCCGCAAGGCGCTCCCAACATCCTTTAACTATTCCGTACTATCCACCTTTGAGTATCCGATTGCACACGGGAAGCGGCACGAAATCAGCCGATCGGCGGAGTGTCAGGCGAGGTAGGGGCGAGGCGACGGCCCTCCGCCAGTGTGAGCGGGCGTGAGCGCGGGTGAGCGGGGCTAGGGGGTATGGGGGGTGACGCGCGTGTGTGTGTCCAGGCGACGATGCTGAAGAAAAGCAAGCGCGGGTCCGGGGCCGGCGCGGGCGGCGCCGCGGCGGGCCCGTGACGGCGCCGCGCCCCGCTCACCCGCGCGTGTCGCGCTGTGCAGGCCACCATGCTCAAGAAGCGCGGCAAGGTGCGCCGCCGGAACACGGAGCCGGCGCTGGCGCCCGCGCCGCCGCACGCGCACGCGCACGCGCCGCCCATGCCGCCCGTGCCGCCCGTGCCGCCGCCCCCGCCCCCGCCGCCGCCCCCGCCGGACTCCTGAATCTGGCTCAGCGAGCGCCTCATCTAGCTGCGCCGCCTCGGGCTCAAGGCGTGCGCCGCCGGCGCTCGCTCGCACCGCCGACCCTGTAAATATTACCCCACCGGTGATCGAACAACTATGTACTTACTGAAATTGATTAATAAACTTGAATAAATCGATGAGAACAAAAGAAAATACAACAAAACCGAAATAATATATAACTTATAATAAATAAAAAAATAAATTTATAGTCATTAGTTGTTGTTTTATTTGGTTTTTCTAGTTCTCTTATCCGGTTGATTACGTACGATGATGATCAGTTTTTTTGGGAATGTGTAAGATAATATGAATAAATCACGATGAGATATGTAATGTTGAGCGTTTTCATTGATTCCGTTTTCGAGAGCTAACCCCGCTAGGAACATGCAATACTTGTAGGTTTAAAAAAATATAAGGTAAGTGATACAAATAAGGCCTACCTATGCAAGGCATTATTCTTTGGTTCATAAATTTCAAGTAATTAAGAAAACATATTAAAATAGCCAATAATGGAACCTTAGCCTTAAACCTTTCAAAAACATAGTGACTTAACAAAGCCTATGTACTTTAATTGTAAGGCATTTTATAAAATTAGGCTTTATTTAGTACATTATACTTTATAAAAGTTATAAGTATTATTTAAAATTAATAACGCGCTATGAAAAGCACGTCCTTCACAAAGTACCGCCACTATTGACGCTATGAGCTCGAGCGGACCGCTCGTGCACAGTTCGCCGAGTTGTAGAACTGCCATCTAAATGCGTGTGTAAAGTATTTTTGATGTAAACAAATTTTAATAGACTTTTCTGCGCTACTGACCTTATTTCAGCACAGGCCTTTTTTGTATCAGGTACCTTACATCTAAAGGTAAGAGCGGCCGTGGAACTACCATTAACGAGCATCTTGAAACATTCAGAAAGAACTATACTTTAAGCTGCGACTATATCATAGTAAACTCTAGTCTGCTACATACACTGATAGCTCGAGCAGTTAGTATGAACTGTTGAAGCAGTTATTTGCAATTGCAGCTTCGAGCTGTTGACTCTGACTGCTCGATCAGTCCGTGTATGTTGAACTCTAACTGCTTGAGCATTCCCAGTAAACATGATGACTACTGAAAAAATCACAAAATGTCATGTTTTAATATTTACTACGCTTAACTACTCAACTTCACGCATACTTACTTGTGGGGTTTACAAAACGTCATATGTGCGATGAGATAATACATAATTCAATTCAAACTCAAATTGAATTAAAATAATAATGGAATAAATAATACAATAACAAATAAATCTTGATGACGCTGTGACTCTCACAGTCGTAGATCACGAGATGAGTGATTAAGAATCTATTGTCACGAGCTTTGCATGCCTTGGTCTCGGCTACAGCTACAGTTGTTAGCACATAATCCGCAATGGGTCCATGTGGTTAATCGTGGCATGGCCCGTTTGCCCTGTTCAATCTATAGGCAAAGCCTGTGCCACAGCAGCAGGAATATCAATAGGTTGGTAACGATAATATTGCTTAATAAAGTCATAAAACAATTGGCACATGTGACATTGATTGAATCTAGATGTTGCTAGTAGTAACAAAGATAATAAGCAAATTACCTCACCCCACCTGATGATAAGTGTATTTTAATGGAGTCTAGCCGCGAACATAGGCTATTGAAGCCTTAATTAAACCCGCGCCTACACTACGCCAACATTGGCCAAACGGGAGTGTAGTGTGAGTATTGGTCTAGTCTCGCCTCCGTGTCGGTAACACCAAAGGGTTCTCAGGTAGTTTTGTATGTTGGCAAAACTGTCCCTCCATATTCTCGATGTCGCTCATTAGGATTGCCACCATAATTGGCGAATAAAGTTCTTATTTTGCTAGTTTTGGTCATTAAAACATATTTTTTGTTGCTCTATGTAAATAGAATATTTTAGCGTACTTTATTGGTGTTGTACATTTTAAAGTACCTACGTGAAAAAGAGGATAAGCTGTATTTTAGATTTCGGGTGAGAAACCTACCATGCCAGTCAGCTGAATTCGGTTTTTTCCAAAAACATTCATGTTTTTGTAATTATAAAAAAAAATACAAATTGTACCCAGGACCTAAAGTAATCATTTTAAGAAACTTTATTAGTCATCCTATAATAATATCCCTAAAGAACTATTGCGTTTATCCTGATGAATTCATTTCTTGAACTACAAGATAATTATAAGTATGCTATAAATATATTACAGCAGATAATTATATTACTAGTCTATTTTCAACTGAGCTGATCGAGAATGTGGAGAGACGGTATCGCGTACTTTAGTTAACGGCCCTTCTCGACCAAACATTTAACCGAGACTTCCCGTCGAGAAAGTGGAGCGCGATTTACTCACCAACAGAAACACGACAACACCAAAATGTTGTCTTATTTTACTGGTCGTCTTCATTACGATGGAGGTTACTTCACCAGACAGGCGATCCATTTTGAAGGGAAAATCTCCTATGCCATATCTTCCTTAGGCTTCTGAGTACGTCATCTCCATTATGACATTTACTCTGCGAGATATAACGAGCAAGATGCTGTCTGTTTTTCAGTCGTAAGTAACGAAGAACTAAATTTATTTAGGAACTAGTGGGTAACCTGAGACCTTAGCTGGTTACCTGACGCCGGCTTCCAGTGTAAATATAGCTTCGGGGCCCCTTATTCGAGTAACGACTTTCGTGTACCCGAATACGGCTAAGGACCAAGTGCAATCGAGCTTAATAGCTCGATTGCACTTGGTCCTAATGTATTAAGAATTTTCCAGAAAACATTTCATCCTTTAACGTTGTTTTAAAAAAAAATGCTTATATCCTTTTCGAAAACTATTTTTTTTATAACAAAATCGTTTCATCGAAATCGGTTCAGTTGTTTACAACTAAAGTTGTAAAAACGTAACTGATGCCGGAAAACTTCTTTAGCAAACCAAATAGACTACCGAGAAGACATTTTATATATAAAGTTGCTACTGCGCAGACCTTCTTGTCTATGGTTGTTGTTCACGAAGTTTTCCGTGATGTTATACTATAGCAATTCATAGAACTAAAGGTACTATTCCGTGCATCGCGATCGATCGCGGCCGGGCGCGTTCTACGACTGTCTTCGGTCGCTCGCGACAATAGTCATAGTATGAAAATGTATGGCACCGCTTCCGAGGCCGAGGCCGCGCGCGGCCATGGGCGGCTATGACTATTGTCTAGTGATCCGCAAAATATTGAAAGTATCGATACTTACTCGATACCAAGTATCGTATTAAAAGTATCGATACCGGTATAAGTATCGTATCAAAAGTATCGATACTACTTGGTATCGAGTACTTTTTAACGTATTGAATGAAACATGACAAATGATTAGTTAAAAGTGGTTTATTACAAATGAACAGAAAAAACAACAGAAATAATTAAAACCCCCAGTCTGTTTCTGAACAATCTGATAAAAATAACAATTTATCAAGCTTTGAACCAGTAAGACGATTGCGAGCTTCGCTTATTGTTGCGCCAGCTTTAGAAAACAGGCGCTCTGAAGGCACTGATGCGCCTGGCACAATAAGGTATTTTCGTGACAATGCATAGACCTTCGGGAATACTGACTTCATGTCTTCCCACTGCTGAAAAATGTCAGACTTTAAAGGGGAGGGGAAAAAAGAACTTGCGAAAGTATCGATACCTACTAAGTATCGAAAGAAAATGTATCGAGTACTCAAATACTTGGTATCGAAACGAAAGTATCGATACTACTCAGTTATCGATACTTTTTGCGGATCACTACTATTGTCGCGAGCGACCGACGACAGTCGTAAGCCGCGCGCGGCCGCGATCGATCGCGATGCACGGAATATTACCTTAAAGCTACAGCACTCAGGTAAATCTTGAAAACCGGTGTTCATACAACTCTGCTGTGTAGCTACTCTTATGGATATTCAAAGACAACTCGAGCTCCACGTTGAGCAGTTGGTTGCGGTCGCAACAGTATCCTTAGCACGAACCTATATCGAAATCGAATAGTTTGCAAATGCGAAATGTCAATGTCAAATTTTGTATGGAAACTTGAACAGAAACGCCACGACAGACGTAACGAGAACTAAATATCAGTACACATTTGACGTATATCTAAATCGAATTCGATATTGGTTCGTGCTAAAGGTACAGCCAGGGCCTGAGTTGAGTTTTGACCGCCCTAGGCTATTTATGAATACGCACCGCCCTGCCTTTCCTGTCCTACCTTTTCATTCGCTTACAGGTACGACCTTTGAGTACCTATAAGAGATACTCAAAGCACAATACATACAAGAGCAGTAGCGTAACTCAGCCGTTTTCTTGAAATAGATACCTACGACTGAGCGGCAGTGGCGGCGCTAGACCACATGTGGACGTCGGCGACATCAAGTTCGCGAGGCCTATTTTAATTCGCAGAAAAAAACAGTTAAATTAAGTGAGCCAAATTATAAAATAACGTATGAGTAAACGAGTTTTATTGTTGATAATCAAATGATGACAAAAAATAATTACAAACATAGAAATTTAATTACAAAAATAGTGTTGTCAGACAGACGATTCTGAATACCCGTAAAGTACTACTCGCTTCCATCACGCACGTGTTCGAAAATAATAAAAGTCATTATCATCTGCTTAGCTTTTTCCTTGAATTGTTCGGGGTCGGCTACCTAAGCCAGGCCAGGAGAAACGAAAATAAATAGGTAACTTGTAAAAATTTTTTGCGAGGCCCCCTCAGGCGCGAGGCCGTCGGCGGTGGCCGACGTCGCCGACGCCTAGCGCCGCCACTGCTGAGCGGAGCGCTAAGGTTGGTACCTACAAAATGTAAAACAGATTTGTGTAGATTTTTATTGTATGCGTATAGTTACTATTGCCACGTTGCGGAATCGAAACGGAGGCAGACAGCGCGGGCGGTGCGACGCAGCTAACTTAACTCGGCCAATGACCAGTCTCGGCGGCGCGCGACGTGGCACTGCGTAGATTTGTCTTGCCAAGATTGGTTAGCGGCCGTGTAAATAACGTTTGTCTGTTTGCGTGCGTCGATTCGGGCTCTAGTATGAAGTAAGAGTACTGCTCTTGTATGTATTGTGCTCAAATGGTACAACTAATTTAATTACAAGTACAGAAGAGAGCTTGCGTAACCTAACATCATTAAATCGAACTGTCAGTAAGTAGGTAAATGAAAGACGAAAGGAACCAAATAATTCCATCCTCAGATTGCAAAACAATGTTCTAAAATCTGAGATTTCAACACATATTTTTACTATGTTTTTAGTCCTAAAAATATAAAAGAAGATATAAATGAGCAAATAAAAAAATTCTTAATAATAAAATAATAATAAATATTTCCAACACACACGAATTAGCCTAACCCCAAAGTAAGCACTGTAAGGCTTGTATTATGGGAGGCTAGGGTAACGGATAGAATACATATACAGTAGGTACATATATAAGTATATTTATAAATCTCATCATTACGGCATAAAAGATTCCGCACAAAAATTAGTGCAATCATATTTAACAGAAAGGACACAAATAGTTGATATTAACGGTACAAAATCAGCCGGATCTCATGTGAAAATAGGCGTTCCTCAGGGTTCAATTTTAGGTCCATTTCTTTTTTTAATTTACATTAATGATTTACCTTTCTTTGTAGAAAATTTTTGTGAAATTGTTTTGTTTGCAGATGACACCTCGCTAATTTTTAACGTTGACAGGTGTAAAACAAATTATGACGATGTAAACAATGCACTTTCCAAGGTACTTCACTGGTTCTCTTCTAATAATCTTAAACTGAATGCGAGCAAAACTAAATGTGTGAAATTTACTTTGCCGAATGTAAAGCATGTTGAAATGGGGGATATAATTCTAAATGGTGAAAAACTAATTTTAGTCGATACAACCGTTTTCTTAGGCGTAACACTAGACCACAAACTTCAATGGAACCCTCACATTACAACACTAGCCGGTAAACTAAGTTCTGCTGCTTATGCAATTTATAAAATAAGACGGCTTACAGATGTCGACACTGCTAGGACAATATACTTCAGCTACTTTCACAGCATTATGTCGTATGGCATTCTATTATGGGGCACGGCCGCAGACATTGAAACAGTTTTTATTCTTCAAAAACGAGCTATAAGAGCTATTTATCGCTTGGGATCTCGAACTTCTCTTAGGGATAAATTTAAAGAAATAGGTATAATGACTGTTGCCTCTCAATACATTTACAATTGTATATTGTTTGTGCGTCAGAACATAAATTTATATACGAGGCGCGATGATGTACATAATTTCAATACCAGAAATAAAGATAAACTCAATTTGCCACCATTGAGACTCCAAAAGGTTCTTGGTTCATTTGTGGGTCAAGGTATATGTTACTATAATAAAATACCAAAAGAAATAATTAATTTACCTTTTAATAAGTTTAAAGTGTGTATAAAAACATGTCTCCTTAAGAAAGGTTACTATACTGTAAAAGATTTCATAAATGATAAGTCACCTTGGGCTTAACATAATAGACTGTCGTTTTACTTTGCTAATTTGGTTGAAAATTGTTTAATCGCCACTTCTAAATTTAAAAATAGTACCTAGTTATACTTAACTTTTGTTAATTAATAATATTAATGTGATGGAAGTTGACACCAACACATGTATTCAATTTTTGATGTCATCTTGCAATTGACGACACTGTGTGAAACAAAACAGGGAGAAAAAAATAGCCCTTGCTGAGTTTCTTGCCGGTTCTCCTCAGTACAAGGTCTCCCGCCGTAGATTCACAAGAGCTTGTAACAGCCTAGACTGAATAAATGAGTTTGAATTTGAATTTTATATAGAAATACATATTAAACATCCATGACTGGAATACAAATACTCGTATTCATCTCACAAGAATCTGCCCCCACCGGGATTCGAAACCGGGACCTCTCGAGTTAGCGACACCACGAAACCCGGCGTACAAACCACTCGGCCACGGAGGTCGTCAAATTCCTTTAATTAGTCTAAGAGCACATGACACTAGACCTAGTATGATAAGACTCTCAGATGATATACCTATATAATTAGAGGCGTCTTTAACATACACGAAATGAAGATGCTGCAATGACTTGGCTATTAAAAGATAAAATTAAGGAACCAATAAAAATCGATTTCTTCTATGATCAGACTCCCACGTTTCGTGTTTTTTTTTATAGATAGGTCCGACAAATGTCTCCTCCCCACCTGATGTTAAGTGAAGGTGAATTCCAGACGCGAAGATAGCTGATACAGCACTACTACCTGCCACACCAGCCATTTGATTTTTTAAAGGATCCCAGGTTGTAAGCGGGAGGGAACATTTAAACGGGCAGAGCATTCCATTTACGGATAGTGCGACAAAGAAATGAGCCACCAAATTTCTTTGTACGCGTTGGAATTGTGACCACAGTTAAACGGTGACAACGTAGGCCAGCGCGCGTGGTCCTCTGAAGAAAAGGGGAAGGTGGGAAAAGAGAGAATAACTCCTCAGAATAGTACGCCGTGGTACAGACGTGTACGTGTTCCTCAATATAGGGGAGGGGACAAGAAAATGCATTACTGCAAGTCCTCGTGACTGGCCTTATTAGAGGCAGTAGCATAAGAGCCCCCAAAAATGAGGTATCTAGTATGATCGACCTCCTAAAAAAACCAGTGCTCATAAATTTCTGTGTAAGAAAAACCACTGCTGCTTTACAGAGATTTTTTTGAAATGTCATTATGTAAATTTTTATATGGAAGGTGATTTGAAGATATCACTTGCTCCCACCTTCAAACGTTGACGCCCTTCATCTTTGTTATTTTTGATTGATTGAGAAAATAATAAAAACTTTTTAACAAACAATGCATACTGAAAAGCAATTTTTTTTTTATCCTTACTCAAATGAATTCGAAGTCGGTGCCACGAATGTCTGATAGATCGAGTTTTCATTTACTAATTGAGTTGGCATAATACCGACTCCAAATATTCATTTGACAAAATATTAATATTTTGTGTTATAAAAAGATTTTATTTTATATTTTTTGCGACTTCTATTTTTGTAATATACAACTCGGCATCAAAATCTGTGGTAACCATCGGGGTAGGTTTCCAAATTTATGTAGGACCAACTTCGAGGTCTATATACCAAAAGTCAAGTGACTGGACTAAGGGCTTTTTATATAAAGGCAAGCTCAGCACTAAGCCAGCCAGCCGCCCCCTTGGTCCTTGCGCCCTAGGCTCCAGCCTTATTAGCCAGTGGGTAAATCTGGACCTGGGTACAGCAGTCGTTAACACCAACCAATCCGCACTGCTGCATGTGAAGTGTTATTCGCATAGAGCAACACGGATGGGAGTAACCATAGACATAATATTATTCTAATCATTTTCATTTGCGGGGGGGGGGGGGGATATGCTCGCAAATGCAGTTTAACGTACACGCATATAAAACCAGACTGTAACTACGATACTCACACATAAATAATGACATAATATATTTTCAAATCGTTTGTATGCCCAACCCGAAAGAGGGGAAGGCTGTGAACGCCTACTCCCCTCCTGGCCGCGTTGCTCTATGGTTATTTGTCTTGCCTATCAGTCACCGTAGCATTAACACACATTAAGAATACACATTTTAAAATGTTTTTATCACGTCTAAATGTCAATCTCCATAGTAATTTAACAATTAAGCGTGCTATAAAAACAAGCTTTATATCATATCGCTATGCTCATACTACGGGGGTTGGAATACCTATCAGGGAGGAATCGGAAATAAAGGATCTGGCTGTACCAAATAAATGAGTGATTATACAAATTGAAACAACTTTATTCGCCGTTAGCTTAGGACTAGTTTTACAAAGCGACGCCTAAAGACTTTGTCTTTTAAAATAGGATATTACTTAACGTTACAAATGAAAGAGACACAACTGGGGTTCTACCACCTAACTGTATTAATATTATAATTTACATTTTGTTATTATTTTTTGTTATTTCAAACACATTCTTATTGCCCTTTTCATAGCCGGTAACTAGCTAAAATTCAAATATATGAATATTATGATGTCTTGCAGGTACTCGGCTATTTTTATCAATAAATACTATATCTAAATTAAGTTTATGTCAATGAGGTTACGTGGTAGAAGTTGGATACTGTTATAAAATAAATAAGAACATAATAACATAAGGTATAGCTTGACAACTCAACTGTGATCACGTGCAATATAAATTACATAGTATTTACATAGCTAAGTCATATAATGTGATTCTTTATTCACCCAAAATAAAAACTACAAGTAACCGTCACAGAGCACCGAAGAACAATTTAATAAGACTTTAAATTCATAGGCAAGTGTTAGTAATTAACATGTGCGTAATTTGTTATTCTGTTATTTATCATAAGAACCTCATTTATAAAACTATAATTAAGAGATTTTTTTCTTTTTTTTTTTACATTGGACAGTGCAAATAGTTTCTTTATACTTTTAAGTTATGTCTAGATGTGAGGACCTGTAATTGGCTCTTTGTCGCTACTATTCATTTCTAGTATATTAAGATAAGCTGTTGGTCTTCCATGTAACCAAAATAAATAAATAAATCTTCAGTTCCTTGATAAAAAAATAATAGTATTTTAGGTGAATATTAAATCAAGCTTAGTTTTCTACGTAAGTATATTTACAAAGTAGATATCTAACTCTGTTTTGTCTGGTCAGGCAAGAGAAGCTTTTTTAAACACTTTTCGCCAGATAAAAACAGAGGTCGAATCGGGATGCTTCTTACAATAGGAATCGTCTGGCGTCATACGGCCCCAGGTATAGATTAACCCAGTTGGTGGTCTAGGAATACCCATGTCTAAATTTACTATAAATCACTACTTTCTCGACGAACTTTACTATATTTTGTTAATTCTTTAGGTTCATAAAGCATAATTATTGCTTATTTGATATTATGAAAAAATTTGTACTGTGCCATTCAAGTCTTCAAAGTCAAGTTGTCAAGTAATGACAAGCTAACACTCAAAAATATGTCTTAATAAATTATGTAATAAAAAATGGAATACTTTTATTACAAAAGTATTCCATTTTTATTACATTAGTATCTCTACAACTTAGTTCTTTTTAATTTATTGTTAATATATAACACCTTGCTACCGTTATCCGAAGCACGTCACAGGGGCACGAAAAAGAAATGATGAAACGAAACCACACAATGAATTTCTACAACTTTGATAAGCTACTGATGATATAAAAAATATTGCTTCTAACACACTTCATGTAGGTGATCTGTCAGAAGTTACAAGATTAAAGCACCGATATTTCTGATATTGAATAATTGTACTTATTATTATTGACACAAAGTATAAAATATATAGGAAAACAGCTCTATACCTTTTTGCACTTTCCTACAGAAGACTCTTTAGCATCTACATGTTATTAGTATTAGGTATAAATTTCAGATAAATCTAAATGGACGTCATGTAATAAAACAAATTAAACTATTTGTACGGGTGTAAAGCCAGATCAATTGACGTTTCGGATCTTTTGCAGGATCCGTGGTCGCAAGAATCATATACCCCGTTCAAAAAGATTTGTTTTTTAATACTTGGTGTGTGTGAAAACATAATAAATAAAAATATGTACTTACTTACAACGCATTTTACCGCTACTATAATAAAGGTATTGCTATCGACACAGAATGCGCATCAAATTGTTTGTTCATTGTTGCGATGTACACACATCAAAAAAGTCTAAACAACACGCATTCATTTACAAAAACTGCATGTTTTATTAATTTGTAAAATATTTTATCTACACTCATATCGTAATATTCGAATTACGAAATTAAAGATGGTTTTATAAAGACGTACTTTATAAACGCACATACATAAAATTCAAAATTAAACTCATCACAGTACTGCTAGCTGTGTCGTAAAATGACTTTTTAATCATTATAGTACACTTTTAATTTATTAAATTAGGCTACGAAATTAAGCTGAATGTAAAAAATTAGGCGCACGCATTCGAAACTTGAAATTAATTTCTCGCGCTTCCCATACAATTTTCTGCAGATCGTGTTGTTTTTGGGATTTCAGAAAAGTTTTGCAAAACACATATTTGTTACTTTGTTTAATTTTAATTGTTCCTATGAGTGAAGATAAAGTAGTGTATACAAATGCATATCATTTAGGTTTTAAAACACGAGAGTAAACCAATTTTAGTAGTGTAGTATAGTAAATTAAAAAAAATAGCCGATTCAAAGGAGTTGTACTACTCATCCAATTTGAATAAAGATATATTGATTTCTGGAGTCGCATAAACTACTATTTTGTTCTAGAAAATATAGTTGGCTGATTTTAAAAACGTAAACTTTCCCATTGTGTTTATAATAGTATAGTATAATTAAAATCGTTTAAAAGTTCAAAACCGTACAACATTTTGCTTAGACTTGTTTGATGAGTTTTCTTTTGATTGAGTAACAATTTTAATGTTTTAAAATTTATCACAATTTTAGTCATTTACAAATTATTTCCTTTTCTCAATAAAATCTGCAAAAAAAAAATTACTCATTTCAAGCCATTTCTAAATTCTCTCATAGGCATACGTTCCCTTTACCCCATATTTGTATTTGCATACGTCTTCTGTTGAATCACAATTTAAAGCATATAAGCCATAATAAATTCTAACAATTAAAGAGAACAATTTTATTCTTGTAAGAACTAAAATGGCAGACAAGTTTAAGATTAATAGAGAAAAGATTTTCTATATAAGAACTGACACAACCCACACCATTTGTGGTGTGTTATCGTCATTCGTTAATGCTATTCGTTTCATACCAAAATAAACAATAATAGGGGTGATGACGGGGTACAGTAAACGAAATTCTATTCAGTCCGTCAGTTAGATGATCAAAAAATAATGGACACGTATTTTTTCTTTGGGCAATCAACCAAAAAATGACAAAGTTATAGCGCGTCAAAGTTTGGGAGTAGGGGCTCGTGAAGTCACTTTTAAGTAAAAAGTGTACCAAAACGTGACGTCATGCGACTTTTCAAATCAATATATCTTTGCAATGTTTATATTATTTGTGAAAAAAGAAAAAATACGTGTCCAATATTTTTTGATAACATCATCCCTATTACTATAAATAGTAACTATTGTTTGAGTATGGTTAGTAAATTTACTACCCATTTCGACGGTAACACAGAAATATTAACAAAACCAAAAATAAGCAGAGAAAACTTTAAAATTTGCTTGTTATGGTCAGCCAGTTTTTTTTTTCATATTATGTTGTAATGTCTTTTTTCGTGCAAATTCCAAAGAAAAAATCGCAAGGTTTACGGTTAAAAAATAGACTCACATTACGACGAATTGGGTGCACCATTTGTCAGTCAATATTACCTGAAAGGAGAACAATTTCGTTACAAAACTTTTTTTTCAATATTTTCTCTTAATTGAACAAAGACCATGACCTGCAAATGATTACACAGGATTTTTCTACCTGAACTGTATGTTTTCGGAGTCGCCGGGTCCAAATATGGTGCCAGAATAGCGAATATGGTACGCGTTCTTTTAACAACATAAACCATATTAGAGTCTGTGCGGAAAGAGAATGGGATTTAGATTGGAGGGCGCTGTAGTGCTTTTCTACCGTGTTTGTAAGGTTTTAACCCCTTTTAGACATGTATAAATAAAAAAAAAACCGCAAGAAATCACAACAACAGACAAATCCGTATCAATACAAAACTTTGACGTTTTACAGGTTGCTGGGTTTGATTCCCAAATAAAAAATCTTAATGTTAGTTCTGTTTTTCGCCACGCCCATTCTCTTTCCGCACAAACTCTATACGAAAACCTTAAATTTTCAGCATTATTGCTGATTTCTGAAAAAACGCGAAGCAACGTCGCTATTCTGGCACCATATTTGTAAAATTGCCATCAGTCTGATGTTTTCATTCCTCAAAAAGCATAATAAGTACAGACTGTTAGCAAGTTAACAAATAACAAATACGAATAGCCAAGTGAAGTGCTGGCATAAAACATGCCACCATTTCTTCCTGTATACGGGCAACGGCATAGATCTTTGGGTTTTTTTTTATTCTGAACTAAATTTTTTCCTAAACTAAATTGTTTTTATGTTGTATTTAAAAATTTATTAAGTTTATTAAATGTAAGATTTTGGTCCGTCGAGCCGGATATGAACCAGCAGCTTATATTTCGATGGCTAAAATTATAAAGATGTAAGAAAAAAAAACGGCCAAGTGCGGGTTGGACTCACACACGAAGGGTTTCGTACCATTATCTTTACAACATAAGGCACTATATAATGATATTGAGCAAAAAACGGGAAAAATCATATCTGTTGTATGGGGAATCCTACATTTTTGTTTTATTCTATTCTCATTTGTTGTTACAGCGGCAACAGAAATACATTATCTATGAAAATTTCAACTGCCTAACTATCAAGGTTCATGAGATACAGACAGACAGACATACGGACAATGGAAACTGTGGACAGTAATAGGGTCCCGTATTAACTCTTGGGTACGTATAGAGAACCCTAAAAATAAGGAAGGAAAAAAAGAGCGATAAAAGAGTCAGTCTTTTATCGCCTCACTCATCATCAGCCTATTAATGTCCCCACTGCTGGGGCACAGGCCTTCCCTATGGATGGGATAGGTAGTTTGGGCCATGATCCACCACGCGGGCCCAGTGCGGATTGGTGGGTGCGAACGAGATGCAGGCGGGACTAACGGCTTAACGTGCCTTCCGAAGCACGGAGAAGCTCGAGATAGTAAATTTTTGGTCACCCATCCAATGACCGACCACTGCTAAAGTTGCTGAACTTCAACGAGCGCAGCAGAATGCGCTAACAACTTGCGCCATCGCCTCACTCACTCACCTTCTACTACGTACAAAGAAGCGGCGCAGTACTCCGAGCAGTATACGCACAAACTCTGCTAAAAGCAAATGGCGGGAACTTGTTCGGGGATAGTACGAACTGGGTCCGTGACAATAGATAAGAAAACTATCTTTTTCGTGGGTTTTTAGTAAAACTAATGAATATTTTTTTTGTAAAATAATAAAAACCCCTGCCAATATTCATTCTAAACACAGATGCTTACATTTGGCACCTTATTTTTAATACTGTCAAATACCCAATTGTTAAGTAATGTCATGCAACGTGAGGAGGAAATTTGAGGAACACGATGGTGCAGGCGGTTAGGTTGGTCGGCCTGCGATCGTGGAAGTTAAGCAACTTTCGCAATGGCCGGTCATTGGATGGGTGACCAAAACCTAATTATATCGAGCTCCTCCGTGCTTCGAAAGGCACGTAAAGCCGTTGGTTCCGTTGGTGCATTTGCAGTCGTTAGCACCCGCCAGTTAGGGCCCGCTTGGAGGGACATGGCCATATCTCCCTATACCATCCATAGGGAAGGCCTGCGCCCCAGCAGTGGGGACACTAATAGGCTGATGATGAATATGTACAGATATGAGGACTTCACAGTTTTCACTTTCAATCTTCACTTCATCATCATCATCATCGACCTATGTTCGTCCACTTTTGGACATAGGTCGCCCCTAATGCAGGCCACTGCTCCCGATTTCCTGCCACTCTCATCCAGCCCACTCCAGCTAGCCTACGAATGTCATCATCCCATCTTGTCTCAGAGCGTCCTACACTACGTTTACCGAGTCGCGGTCTCCACTCAAGAACTTTCAACAAGCCGTCAATTCTGCGGCTAATGTGACCAGCCCACTGCCACTTCAGTTTGCTAATTCGGTGTGCTATGTTAATCTTCTATTATATAACTAGCGGCCCGCCCTCGCTTCGCTTCGGTGTAGAGCTGAAGTGTAGACTACAATTTTTGTTCTCAGGCTTGTATTATACACAATGATATTCATCTATGATTCTTCTTATACCTGTTTATAATTGACAAAGTTTCATGCAAACTTTCATTCCCTATTTTATCCCCTTGGGGGTAGAATTGATCAAAACCCTTTCTTAGCGGATGCCTACGTCATAACATCTACCTGCATGCCAAATTTCAGCCCGATCCGAACAGTAGTTTGGGCTGTGTGTTGATAGATCACTATGTCAGTCAGTCACCTATGAGTTTTATTTATATAGATTTATTATCAATCTCCTCTTTCTCACCTCCTAATATGAACAAAGAAGCGGCGCGGCACTCTCAGCAGTATAAGCACGAACTCTGCTAAAAGCAAATGGCGGGAACTTGTTCGGGGATAGTTCGAACTGGGTCCATTGATCGCGGCGAGAACAGACCGAGTACCGTCGCCATACGAGCTGGAAGTTGCGTCTACTGCGCACATTGCGCAGTTGAAATTCCTAAAACAAAACGACACACTTTAATATCTGCCTTATCTAAAATTTCAACTGCCTAGCTATCAAGGTTCATGAGATACAGACAGACATACGGACAATGGAAACTGTGGACAGTAATAGGGTCCCGTTTTTACTCTATAGGTACGTACGGAATCCTAAAAATAAGAAAGGAAAAAAAGAGTTCCGGTCTCTTTTATCGCCTCACTCATCATCAGCCTATTAATGTCCACACTGCTGGGGCACAGGCCTTCCCTATGGATGGAATAGGGAATTGGGGTCTTGGCCCAACACGCGGGCCCAGTGCGGATTGGTGGGTGCTAACGACTGCAGATGCAAGCGGGACCAACGGCTTAACGTGCCATCCGAAGCACGGAAGAACTCGAGATATTAAATTTTGCTCACCCATCCAATGAACGACTACTTCGAAAGTTGCTTAACTTTAACGATCGGAGCCGAACGCGCTAACCACTTGCGCCATCGAGCTCCTCACTTTAATATAGTTAGCATTAAATCGATTGGCAGTGATGTGGAATCGATTAATAGGGGAAAGTGGGCCGATAGATGTGTCGGGGAGTGCATATAATTACCATATGGAAGGTTTGCTCGTGTTGGTCGTGCGATTCTTTGCGTCGCGCTCGGAACCGGGTGTTGGACGCCTGCGCCGGCTTCTTGTCGTTGCCAGTCTTCTTAATTACGATCACAACCTAAACATTTGAAATGAACAGTTACGTTACAATAATAAAACTTGCACATAACAATGGAATAGCTGGTGAAATGGCGTGAAGTACAGAGGTATTAGTTGCATTTTAATAAAAAAGAATTGTGGGTTACCTACAATGCGAAGAGATGGTGCTGCCTTGCAGCTTAAGAATGGCTAGAAGAATTTCGACGCGGCCATCAGGGCCGCGATAACATAATTGGTCAGTGCATCCGCCCGGATAGCGAAGGGTGCGGGTTCGAGTCCCGTCTGCAGCCTGGGCCGCGTGGATTTTTTTCTAGTTATATTTTCTTTAGATTTAAACATCAAGCAGTTACATGTTTAAAAAAAAAGATTATAAAAAAGAATTACTAAAAAACCGGTTTCGTTTTGATGTTGAGTAACTAACATAGTTTTATCCTTTGATTATTTATTCTAGATAGAGTGTGGCAGCGTAGATGACGTCGGTCAGTATAAAACGTATAAAAATATCAGCCAAATGCTTGACTCTAAGTCGTTTTTCGTCACTTAGGCCCGTATTATAGAAAGATTCTCAGTGATTGATCTAGTCTTGAGCATAGTTAGAAAGGGATGTCGCTCACTGTGCTCAAGTAAAGATCAACACTTAGTTGTCATTCTGTAATACGGGCCTTAGTGTTCAATGTAACGCTGAGCGCGTCCATTACAGAGTTTCGTGTTGAAATTATTGCTTCGAAATGCCGAGATGCGCGATAAAAGTTTGCCGAAATTATAAAGGACGCACACTCTTAACATCGGTAAGTAACTCATTATTCACCTTATTAATATAAACTATCATCATATTAGTTAGAAAATTTACGACTCCATCTTGACATTTTCAAAATAATGACAGTGTCTCATTACAAAATTCCCCAAAAAAGTAAGTACGGCGTAATCAAAACATTTACCGATTGCAGCAGAGTGCGTTAGAGAAAAGTCTTTTTATATCAATATTAGTTTAATTATCTCGAAAACTGAACGGAATATACTTTTTTTTATCGAAAAACCCTAAAAAAAGAATTGCTATCAATAATTAATATGGATAGCAATTCTTTTTAGTATATTACTTAATGAAGGAAAAACGAAATATATGAAATTTATATTACCTTATGTAAAACAGGTAAAACCCAGTGTGAAAACTAATGTTGATTTGATTAAGTTTACCTACTTTTTTGGGGAATGTGGCCTAACCTGGTATCTTACGCATGCGCATCGAGACAAAAATAATGACATTTCGCGAGTGTAAGATACAAGATTCGCGTGTTTTCAATCCTAAATTGAATCACGTGCTTGCAATAGTTTGAGAGAGACATCAAATAAAGCGACATCACCTTGTCTCCAACTAAGCGATAGTGGCCGGGCATAATGCCGGCAGTTCTGGCTGCTCGATGCTTCAAGTGACCTACACACGTCGCGGGCTCCTCGGCCGTCGTCCACGACAACACCAGACCCTCGGGGAAGAACCTGGTAGACCATCATATTAATTTGTATATATAACTAGCAAACCCGGCGAACTCCGTTTCGCCACCAGATGGCTTCGTTTTATGTAACATTTCGTTTGGTGATTAAAAGAAGTTTTTTTTTAAATTTTTCCTGAACTTTCTTTGCTATAAACCTCACGAAGCCCGAGACCTTTCCAACGAAAGCAAAACCGTGGAAATCGGTTCGTGCGTTCTGGAGTTATAGCGTCAGGAAGGAAAACCCGACTTATTTTTATATAGTAGATTGAAGCTAAGGCAGCTTTGTGAAAATGCAAAAACACACCTATTTTAAAGACCTTCTGCACATTACTATGTGAGGCTAGCAATACACATTTTTTTTAAGAATAGGCTAGTTGACTCATGTCAAATTGCACTATACAAATGTTTATTTCTTATAATTTTTGGTATGAGGAACCTAAATACATCGATTTCACTTCATAAACTTAGAAGATGGCTGTAGTAATTTAATTTGAAAAATAGTTTTTTAGTCTATGCTTTTTAAACACTAAAAACGCTGTCCACCATGATTGTGACGTCAACATAATAGCAAAACAAGTAAACGACATTGTCATGTTACTGTGGTTTCTTTCGTCCGACTAAAATATATCTAAAAACTGTTATATTTTGAAGAAAAGTTTCCGTTTATTGGTTTTCTTAACTAAATTAATGCTGGAAGCCGGATTTGTGAAAGTAGAAACGACAAAACTCTTTGACAGGTACATTCATAACCTTAAAAATTGAAACCACAACATTTCTAGAGTTTTTAACGATGTGTTTCTTTATTCTCGTATAATACAATCATGATAATTACTATATTTATCATGAAATCTATTAGAAATCGTGGCTTTGTAATGTAAATTCAGACAGGTTATATCCTACGTGCTTGCGAGTGTTTGTTTACTATTGTTCCCGTGATACCATAGAAAATCTATAGACTAAAATGGCCGACAGCGTTTTTGTATGTCCATGAAAAATCTATTTTAAAATTAAAGTTTTGTAGCTTTCTAGGTAAAAAAAATACAATACATTTTTTTCGGTCTAATTGAACAATTATTAACCATTTAAAATATATTTCCAAAAAGTGTCAACTAGCCTATTCATGACCATGGATACAAGTCCTTCAGTCGTATACATAAATACAAATCTTAATCTTCTTGTTTACATTAGAATGTCGGTGTGACGCATTCTAATGTTTCTTGGAATGTTTGGCACGAAATGTATCGAGTAGGTTTTTTCGATTAGCTTCTGTAAGGTAGTCAACACTACAATAAAGTTCTCACGTCCACTTGACCGGACAAGCTTATATTTTAAAAATTCCACTAATTCTTCAGTTGCGCAGATGGTTGTAACACAAAATCACACCGATATTATTTCACAATATCCACTATGAACGAATTTAAGAATAATTGAAATAAGACGCAAACCGCACTCGATGAAATCCCGCCAAAGACTCTTCTAGCAATACACAGAATAGTTTGTAATGCCAGAAATATAACCTACTTTTCCCCAAAGTTAATCAATTGTGCCATAATATTTAAATATTTCTGTGCATCAAAGATTTCATTGTAACTTGCAAAAATGGCAAAGATACCCTTGTAGGCAATGTTGGCGTATTTCACGGTTCTTAAACCTCATATACCTATACAAATTAACATCCGCGCGACCGCCATCCGCCGCGGTTCGGGGTTTGTACATTGTTCACCTAATGGCGCAATTACAATTGGTCGTTAACCCGTATTCGGATGAACGAAAAACCTTACTCAAATTCGGACACCCGAAGCAATATTTACACTGGAAAACGGACTGGAAGACGATGCCGGGTAAACAGAAGGAAATGTACGGGCGTACTAGACTCCGTTCATTTACACTTAGTCGTTTACCCGAATTCCATTAGGGGCCATTCAAGTATTACGTAAGCACTATAGGGGGGCAGGGGGGTCTTTGCATTGCTTATTTTTGATGACATGGGGGGGGGGGTTCGGGTGTTATGGACTGAAGACTGTATACATATACCAAAAATTCGAAAGAAGTTTGTTTTGTTCGTAATAGTACCTTACTCTATGTTGAATACTGTGTCAATAAAGTTTGTTTAAATGAATAATAAGTGCGTTAAAGTCCTCTGTCCTAAGCCTATTTAAGTACTGCTGCTCATGAAGCTCATGAAAGCTCATGAATCAAGAAAAAAAATAGAATATATTAAAGGTCAACGTTTACGTAAGCACGTGAGGGGGGGAGTAAGAGCTTTGCTTACTTTTCCTGACAAGGGGAGGAGGGGGTAAATAATTGTAATAAATCTGCTTACGTAATACTTGAACGGCCCCTTAGCACTCGTATTCAGGCTAACGATCAAATGTAATCGCGCGACCGGGGGGTGAAAGGTTAACACATAAAAAGTAGGGAATCAAACTTTATGGCGGTTGTGAAGTTAGCAGCGAGCGCGACTAGGCGCAGATTTCTGTTCAATGACATCCCGCGCGCCCTTAATACCCTTCATTTCGTTTACTGCGCCATGACTTGCGGTAACTTCACCGTCACTATTAAGTTTAAAATCACACTCTACTTGATATAAAGTCTAGCAGACGTCACACACCAACACCACCACAGACTCAAATCTTCCCCTGTCAAGCTGTAAACTAGGCATATAAGTGTGAGAGAAACGGAGCGATCGTGCGGTCAATACTTCTTTTAAATTATGGTGTATTACAAGTTTTACTGTAGTTTTATTAAAAACTTGAAATTTACAAAGTACATAATACTTTAGTTTTTTTTAAAGTAGTCATAATCTACAAACTTATAAGATTAATAGATAGTGCTTCACAAGATATTAATGAACGAAAACTGGGTTGATCGCAATAAATTTTTAAGGACAGTGTAAACTCTTTATAATGACACTAAAGGGACTGTACATTTTATGGCGTTATAAAGAGTTGTCGTTAAATGGAAAGAAGAAAAATCAAAATTATGAAAAGAAAAAGTTTATTTCAAGCTAGTCGTTATTTAGGTACATAAAAAAATAATCTTATTTTTAACGCTATTGCGTATATTCTGTTATTTTTGTCTGACGTCTTTTGCTGCACCAGAAATTTTGTTGTATTATATTTTTTTAGTCATGGTCAACAATAGTCTACACTTGCAATCCCAATTTGTAAACAAAAGAATTTCTAAGAAATTTTGTTTGCATGATAATAAAGCGACAAAAGAACGTACATAGCTGCGCGATTTTGACTAATTTTGGCAACTTAAAAGGCACTTTTTATTACTTAATTATTGTCGTTATTGAGAGTGTATTATGCTATACTTCGACTTTTTATTAGCTGCAGTAAAATGACGTTTCAAAATGTCATTCCGTAAACTAATGTTGACCGCCTAATTTCAATAGGGATGTGATTAGGTTCACAGAAAATTTAATCGTTCCATAACTAACTCATAATGATCATACTTAATTCTATTTATTATTCATATAAATAAAAGGCTGTATAAAATCTCAAGTTGGTACTGATTTTTAGTTACGGTGCTACGATGAGGCTTGTCCGCAATTTTATTTCATTTGTCATTGGCTCATTCGGCTTCTAACTTCTGTTTTGAGTGCACGAATAACTTTGCTTTGCCCACTGCGAGTTGTTTTAGTTATCATTATTGTTAAATTTTTGTTACGTTATGTTTGTTTTTCGTTACCTACTTTTTCTTAATCGTGTCAGCTTTTTTTTGTTTGTTACATCGAAGACATGGATGCTCAGTTGAGCATATCACACGATGGAGATACATTTCTATCTCCTAATAAAAAAGGCCACGTGTAGCTCTTAGTGCAATCGAGAAACTTTGGGTCAGAAACGTTTACAAATATGTGTTTGAAGTGAAATCTACAGAATCAAATATTGAAGTTCCAAAAACAAGTGAATGCGTCAACAAGGTGGCTGAAGTCTTGGGAATATCCGTCCGCACTGTTTATTTTGATTTAAAGGAGCACAAGGAGAACGACTGTAAATCACCAAAACCTCCCGAAAAACCAGGCCCAAAACTTACAAGTTTACCAGTCATCATTAATCTATTTATTATACGTTAGGTATAATATGTTTTCTCCCACCCCATGTGGAATTTTAACCAATTAGATTCAAGAGTGGCTGACCACTAAAAATATTACATTTGAACCAAATATAGTGAAGGCCACTCTCATAGATATTGTGAAACAACAAAATCATACTGAGAAATATGCCGTAGACGAGATTGCTGCATAAAAAGATATGAGACTTTTAAAACTGCCCCCTTATCACTGTGAATTGAACCCTATCGAGTTTGTTTGGGCTCAGGTAAAGGGGCACGTCGCAAACATTAATAAAACATATAAAATGCAAGAAGTGAAAACTTTATTCCAAGAAGGAATCAACAAAGTGACACCGGTTAAGTGGAGTGACTGTATGTCTTACACTATAAAAGAGGAAGACTAAATGTGCCACCTCGATCATATTATGGATGAAATGACAGACAGATTTGTCATTAGTGGGACCGAAAGCGACAGCGATAGTGATTCCGAAAATATTTGATTAATAAATAACATTGTTATGACTTTTTGTTTAATTTTGGATGTACGTCCCGATACTTCCAATGAAAAAGATCAATCCTTTACTATAGTAATAATAATAGAATAAAAAATCATTACAACTTAATATTAAATCTCTTAAACGAAACCAAACTGATCATTCATTTATTGAATGATTCACTTACTCACTTAGCTACATCCCTATTTATTTTTCTTCAAAAAGCGGTAACCCACAAAACGTCATTTTACTGCAGCTAATAAAAAGTTCTACTTTATAAGGAATGTGTCATTGTACGGAAAACCAAATAAACCAACCAAAGGCGAGTGATTTCGACTTTTTTTTTATTGATAGGTCCGACAAATGACTCCACCCCACTTGATGTTAAGTGAAGGTGAAGTCCAGACGTGAAGATAGCTGATACAGCAGTTCTACCTGCCACACCAGCCATCCTCACCCTGCCGGCCTGCATGTTGCTTCTTCACGCCTCTTTTAAAGGATCCCAGGTTGTAAGAGAGAGGGAACACGTGAGCGGGCAGAGCATTCCATTTACGGATAGTGCGACAAAGAAATGAGTCACCAAATTTTTTTGTACGCGTTGGAATTGTGGCCACAGTTAGACGGTGACAACGTAGGCCAGCGCGCGTGGTCCTCTGAAGGAAAGGGGAAGGTGGGATAAGAGAGAATAACTCCTCAGAACACTCGCCGTGGTACAGACGATAGAACGCGCTTAGTGACGCCACGTCACGGCGTAATTGAAGAGGCTCGAGGTGTTTAGTCACCTCCTCATCGCCTGTGATGCGGATCGCGCGCCGCTGTAACCTATGCAAAGCATCGAGCAAGTACTAGAGCTGTAAAAGTAACGAGATATTTGGTACTCGTATGTATTCGTTACTATAACAATCAATACTCGTTACTATCGTATCGTTACTAGTTACTTACGATACTAGTGTGAAGCACTGCATTGATCGAGTCAAGTCGAGTTAATATGACGTTGTACGTTTAAATTAAACTTCTTTAAATTTCAGTTTCAAACTTTGTCTAATAAATTTCCTTACTTATTATAGTATATTAGATTGAAGTTTAACTGCCACCACATTCACAATACTTATTATTTAACTGTTGAGCTCTTGCAATATACAAATTTGTTGTTGTATAAACAATCATTTTTCGTAACGAGTGTTTAAATACATTCGATTTAACGAACAATATTAAGTATTATTATTATGTTTCGTGATACAACGCAAGATGAGCAAACCGTATCAATTCAAGCATCAACGAATCAAATTGACATCATCAGTACGACACATACGAGTAACGAAATGTATTCGTAAGTAACGATTAGTTACTTGAAGTCAGGTGGTGTACCCGTTACTTGGTAACGAATACATACTGTTTGTTACAGCTCTAGCAAGTAGTTGGCGGAGCCATCCCAGAGGTGCAAGCAATATTCCACGCACGACCGCACTTGCGTTTTGTACAACAAGCACAGTTGATTGGGCATTTAGGGAGTTTGTCGTTAAATCGACTGACGTTACATGGAGTGAAGGAGTTTACACTGTATTAACAAATTAACAATACTCTAACAGGCCCTGTCAGAATACCAGCGTTGTCGTGACACGTTTAGTTACATGTCACGGCAGCATTATGCTGAGGCAGGATCCTGATTGACCAATATGATTGCTGTTAGGTTTAGAAAATTGTGTAATGCTTACTTTTTATATATGTTTTTTATTTTAGCAGTTTATAATTTTTATGTTTGTGTTTTATTGGTCAATAAAATGGTTCTCTCTCTCTCTCTCTCTAACATATACTGACCTGAGGTACCGGTAGTAGTCTATGAGGTACCATGGCCTGTAGAACTGGTCCTGGAACGAGTTCTCGCCGTGTCGCAAGTACGTAGTCTTGGAGATGTAACATCCGTTCAGCTGCAGCCGCGGCCTCTCTATGTACATCTGTCGCCACGACGCGAACCCATTGGCACGAGGAGTGGCGCATTCTATGCCCCACGTTCTGATATAGGAATAAGTATATATAAATATAAATATTTCCAACACTCACACCAATTAGCCTAGCCCCAAAGTAAGCACTATAAGGCTTGTGTTATAGGATACTAGGGTAACGGATAGAATACATAAACTTTACATATATATATATGTATATTTATATAGAAATACATATTAAACATCCATGACTGGAGTACAAATGCTCGTGTTCGTCACACAAACATATGCCCCCACCGGGATTCGAACCCGGGACCTCTCGAGTCGGCGGCACCATGAAACCCGGTGTACAAATCACTCGACCACGAAGATAGACCGATGTCTGCCAATAACATCCACCCGCAATTATTTTAGTTACACCGTGATCATGACGCTTGCAAACAATGCCGAAATATCGGGGACTGACAGATAACAAGGAACATAAATTACTCGAAATAAGAAACCATATTTATTATGAAAGATGTAATAAATTATTTAATTTAGTAGAAACAGGTCTTGGAGATGTTCACATCATATTGGCGGTCAGGAACGACTAAAAACATTCTAAATTTTTTGCGGTACACCCAAGGGACCCACGGAGGGGGAGGGGTCAGGTTAATCTAAAATTAAAAACACCCCGGATTCGCACGACAGTTGCTATTTCATGGATTTTTTTAGGGTTCCGTACCTCAAAAGGAGAAAACGGAATCCTTATAGGATCATTTTGTTGTCCGTCCGTCCGTCTGTCAAGATCGTTTTTCTCAGGAAAGCATGGAGGTATCAAACTGAAATCATGTCTACTGTTCCTTGGAGCTGTGAAAAAAACAAACTTCTAAGTCAAAGCAATCAAAAGATACTCGTACAGCCGTTTATGCCGCAAATTTTCGAAACTCGCACGGGAATCAAAACCTACAGGGTACTTCCCGTAAACTTAGAATCTTGAAATTTGGTACGAAGTAACGTCTTATAGTACAGATAAAGTAAAAATTGCGAAAACGGTATATTTTTAGTTACATCATATAATAAAAATTATTTTTTAAAATTTTAAAGTTACTACCTCTTTTCTCATGAACGCGTAGAGATATTTAATTGAAATTCATATCAAACAAGTGGCCCGCCCTCGCTTCGCTTCGGTGTAGAGCTGTAGTGTAGATTTAAACGACTCTTCATATAAGTAATTGTAAAAAAAACTGAAAATGGTAAATTTGGCTTTTCCAAACTTCTATTGACATCACGTCGCTCAATTGTTATGCCTTCCCAGAATCTCTCCACTAACATTTGAAATTTATGGTATGGTATTAAAGTTCAAATTGACTTTTAAGTATTATTACGAATCGTTTGTATGGGAGTATGGAAAAGTGTTGTTTTTGGACATTTTCAGGCAATTTTTTTAATCTTTCTCTACGTAAAAACCATTCTCGTACTTCAAGGAATATTCTAAAAAAAATGGGTGCGTGTACTTATGTAGGCGTGTGAGAAGTTATCCTTCTTTGGCATCGTTTAAAATTAGTTTTTAATTGCATGCAAATAATTAATTACAATAAATTAATAAAAAGTCTGGAAAAGGACACAGTCAATAAAGTTCAGTTTTAATTTGAAAAAATAAATAAATAATCAAAATATTCAATTAAAATCGCTACTGAATATAATTTATTAGAACATATGTGATTTGCACTTGTATGAAACTCAAACACGTATTCCGAATATACAAACTAGAAACACGTGGATAAATATTATAAATATAATTGTTACTTTATTACAAAAAATAAAGATGTGGTTTTTGGTTCTACTACACCAATGGTCAAGAGATGGCGCTGTAGTCTCCTGAATCGCGCTTTGGTTCCGTTGTTCCAGATTAATAAATACTTTTGATAGGCCTTCACAATGCAGTCGTTAGCACCCACTAAATAGAGATTCTATTTCTATTTTGTTGGTAGATTTTCTTAATGTGCGGTAAACACAAAAGTAACGCATGAAGTTGGTTGGTAGACCAACTTCATGCTATTAAAATTTTGTGTTACAGTGATGCGCGCGCATCTTAAAATTTCACTCTCATCATTTTTTCATAACGCGCCTAAAGAAGTATAACTTCAAAAAGAATTATCGAAATCGGTTCAGCTATTCTCGAGATTTGCGCTTAGCAACACATTAAGCGATTCATTTTTATATTATAGAAGATACGGTGAACTTTTACTTATATACCCACAGGTTTGTACGGAACCCTCGGTGCGCGAGTCCGACTGGCACTTGGCCGGTTTTTTTTAGGTCAGAGTACTAACCTGAGACAAAGTGATCGCCACAAGTCCGTGTCTCGCGCGCAAACATACAAGCCGCGGCAAACCGTCGCCGCGCGCTCCAATGAAGCCGCGTCCAGCTCCGAGCTCACCACCCAGCGTAATATCACCAGCACCACCTCATACGGTAGCCACGACAGGTGCGCACTCTATACGGAAATACAGTACAACCCGTTTAATACGATCACGCTTAATACGATTTAACGCTTAATTCTTGAGACATGTTCTCATACATTTTTTAACGTTTAATACGATTCGTCATCCCATTTCATCATCATCAGCACAGGCCTTCCCTATGGATGGAATAGGAAGATTTGGGCCATGACCCACCACGCGGGCCCAGTGCGGGTTGGTGGGTGCTAACGACTGCAGATGCAGCCGGGACCAACGGCTTAACGTGCCTTCCGAAGCACGGAGGAGCTCGAGATAGTAAATTTTTGGTCACTCATCCAATGACCGACCACTGCGAAAGTTGCTCAACTTCAACGACCGCAGCCGAACGCGCTTAACCACTGGTGCCATCGAGCTCCTCGGAAATACAGTAGAACCCGTTTAATACGATCACGCTTAATACGATTTAACGTTTAATACGCCATTTTGCGTCAGTCCCTGCAACTTGAGATCTGTTTTCATACATTTTTGAAGTGAAAACTTCTTTAGCGGCGTTGTACACTTTTTTTGTATGGGTAAAAAATGTTAAACTCGCGTCAGGTTAAAGCCGTTGGCTGATCGCATCATGACATACAATAAAATTGGAAAGGTTGTTGACTTCCAATATATTGGACGAAACATATTAATATTTTATTTTACCGTATTATAATAATAAGTCTCTATCTAGGACGTCCACGTGGCAGCTTTATTGCGAAGAAAATGCATTTTTTTTACAATAGATGTCGCTAGGTGCTCTTAAATGTGATTCATGTAAGTTGATTTCTTTACAATAGATGTCGCTAAGTGCGCTTAAACGTAATTCATGTAAGTCAAAAATGCAACCTGCCAACACGCCACTAACGCTCTTTGATTGGGTAATACGTAAAGTCTACGCGAAAGTATACGCTCAAACGTCGTAGCAATAATTCTATGCTTTAGTTCTTTGTCTGAGGGTACAGGGGTCAGCACTGAAGTTTAGCGATGACCGTTATTGCGCAGAAGTCGAAAATTAGGTATCGTAAGAGACGTAACCGGGCGCGGGGCGGGTGTGCATATAAGCTGTAAGCGTGGAGTGGTATACCAGTTGCATTGCATACGTAGATATCCTAACCACATTTCGTTCGGCCGCTGTAACAGACAACCTTATATTAAAACAAAAAGGGAAGACACGGCACTCGCGGCTCAAAAGTGAACCGCTTGAATTGCGATGCATGACCACAATTCGCTTTAGTTACAATTGGAACTTCAAACACGCTGCACGTATTGAGTGTACGTGCATAACATATTGCGTATGTTTTGTTTTATAAAGATAAAACAATGTCTTCGATGTTTTTATAAAGAACACAAATAGTACAAGATCAAATAACAAATGCCATACGGCAACACTTTTCATTCGTAAAACTGTAAAAAATTTTTTTTTTCAAAATAACGGTTTGTTGTCAATGTTATTTACGTAATCGCCATTTGTTCTCAAGAAAAGGACAACAATACAGCTCAGCCGTGCGGACTCGGACGCGGACTCGCGGTTTCGTTCGCGCTGCGTTGAAACGTACAGTTCTGCCTCGCTCACTCGATTGAATGTTTATTTACAGACGTGTGCGTGTGTGAGAGTTGTTTATGTAGTTGAGTTTGATATTTTTATTACGTTACGTGTCGGGATGGGGTTCGAAATTATATGACAGTACGCTTGACAGTTCTTTATTCACCACTCAGTTCACACAATTAACACACAATGTTAATTACAAAACACTCACTAAAAACTGTATTTCACTATACTAGTCTCTAAACAATCGCACTTGAACACTTTTGTTGCACTTTGATCGCCTTTGGATTCGCTCTGAAATCGCTGTTGAAACTCAACTGTCTCTGCGCGGCGCCAATCGCGCTTATATACGCCGATCGACGCATTCTAGAAAGTACCTGTTAAATTGAGAATTAGCTAGCACCCGCGAGTACGAAGTACCTACTTATACCTACGCAGGTAACGCGCATAACTTGTAAACAAGTGCAGATGTCGTTGCACTTTCTCCCTTACACCGCACTGCATAAGGCTCATTTTAGAATGAGCCGTTTTCTCGACCTCTATCGCGACCCGCGGTGATCTGGCAAATTCGATCTCTAGCACTTTCGCGGTTCTGTGTCGAGAGCGTTTGTGACAATATTTTATTTCATGCTAGTATGAGCGTACCGTATCTTCCATTTTTGTTTTAATCTAAGTAGACAACCCACCTTGGTGGCGTACTCCGGTTCGCAGAGCACGCCCTTCCGGGCGGTGATGCGTTGGAGCCGCGTCCACAGATCCTCGCCTTCTATCGCGTCTTCGTCCTCGCTGTCTGGGTCCGCGTTCTCGCGCACCACTACCTCCGATTGGGACTCTACTGTTTTATTTATTTATTAATTTATCGGAAAGCTTATTACAGTTAATAAATGATACTTTGCTCGTTGCTTAAATGAATACAATCGTGCATTCTCTGAAGTATAAATGTTTAACTGTACTCTTAGTAGTTTTATTTAATTGTTTAAAATACAACAATTGAATATATTTTTATAAAGATTCTAGCATGATTCTCTAAACTTAAAACTAAATTTAACATCAGCCTCTCTTTTTTATTCTGTATAGAGAATTAGATACAGATATACTGTTATCAAGTTTAAGTTTAGAGAATCATGTCAGAATCGACATCACAATTATTTTTATCTTAAATTTAAATGTATTGAAATTTCTTCATTCGAACTGGTTCGATCTTGATGATTAACAGATTCTCTACTGGGGTCCTTCAGACAACGATAATTATTTGTTATTACGTAAATAATAATAATAGACACACATTGTATATAATACTGTTTGTTATTAGATTAAGTAAAATGAAATGACCGTAGTATGCCAATATATGTAACAAATATATAACACTGAAGGCCATTTTAAAGTTTCCACCGATAACATTAAACAGCATACTGTTCAATAAAATTTCAATGCGTAGGCGGATTTGTAAACATAATGTTCAACATACACGCACCACTAACACATAAACTAATCTTATCATTGAAGAACTTTCTTGTAAGTAACCCCTTTAGCCGAATTATACAACTGTAAATATACTTGTACAAATAAATATCGCAAAATTTATTAATTTCATTGTAATCCATACTTTCCCTCGCAAATGTATGAATTTTGTCTAATTTTGCCAAATTGATGTACAAAGCGCAAGACCTCCTGCCCGCTAAGTATGGAACGTAAATCGTATAGTAAACACGATCATTTATAATATGAACGTACGATTTGTAAAAAAAAGTTTAACTACTTACCCTCCGGTGTTTCGCTGCGTAGGTCAGTACTCTCGTAGAGTCTGATCTCGACGTCAGGCAAGATCTGCATAGCGCGCTTGTAATGCTGAATGGCTTCATACAACTTGCCGCCACGCTCCATTTCTACACCACGCAGAAACAGCTCCTTTGCCTTGGAAGATGAAGTTCATTCTTGCGTAAAATAGCGTGAAATACTTTCAACATAGAAACAGAGAGGAAGCGCAATCAAAAGTTTGCGGTGCAGACTAATTTCGACTTTGGTTTTACTGTGTAAGGATGAAAATTACCCGACAGAAATTTACTGGATTTCTACATGTAGGTACCTCGTGTTTTCTAGGGACTTTTTAGTAATGTAAAAGTTTCACTAACGCTTCCCTGCACACGACAAGCAAGGCCTCGCTTCGAGCAGTTAGTTACCTTTATATATTGCCAGTATTTATTCTATGGATTTTTATGAAATGCGCTCACTACATCAACTCTGGGTCGCTAGCTGACCCGGCAACACGCCGTTCATAGAAAACATTTTTTTTATGTCTTAAAGAATTTAGAGCATTTATCAAATACCAAAAAACACAGCATCTAAGGTACCTATTAAGAAACAACTGTCTCTGGGGACGCCCCCCACCTTTCGAATAAAGTCGAAGCAACGGGCAACGAATGTCAATCCAGCACGAGTTTTTTCAGGATAAGCAGTTCGCAATGTCATTGTAAGAATCAACAAGTCCACATTTGTGACGCCCCAACTTTTGAACTTCGCTAGAGCAAAGCTAGGGGCAGCAGATAGTTTCAGAACAAAGCAGTTGGATTTGTTGTCAGACGTGAACAAGGCAGCATTTGCTACGCCACCCTTTTTAATTTCGTCTCCGAAGCTAGGGCCAACGAGTGCCATTCCGGCACGTACATTTTTCGAAGAAGCTATTATCGGCACTGCCGTTGTAAGACGTCAACAAGTCCGCATTTGCTTCGCCACACCTTTTGTATCGGGCCTCCGAGGCTAGGAGCAATGAGTTGCATACCGGCGGTAGTTTCAAGACAAGCTGTAGGCAATCCCATTGTATGACGTCAACCATTCAACATTTGAAATGCCATTATGAATTTCTAACGAATGAATTTGTAACGGTCACATCCGCTAATATTTTTGCAAATATTAAGAAAGCCTTACAATTATTGAAATAACACACTTCATTATTTACTATAAGGGCAATACAACCCAGGGTAACTAAAGTAATGACTCAAATACCTTTTCAAGATTTGGACTGCAAATATATTCCGAGGTTGCTTATTATAATTTTATGAAGCAGTAGGTATTGCGCAAATCTCATATTGAAAGTCTTCTCAAAGAACAAGGGTTAGTTATATCTGTGACTCCGAGTCAGGTATGTAAAAACATGTCATAAAAAGGTTATGTTGTTGTACCTATAACAATGTCAGGTATCCGGCAACAGTCATCACTAAATCTGGTAATTTGTTAAATTATTATTTAACTGTTTTTCATAAAATTAGTGCATACAAAGTGGACCATTACGTCAACAACATTTTACAACCTTATAGAAAGTGGGAAAGCAAAAACTCCTTCACCTTACGAAGACGAAGATGATACGACCTGATATTAAGTGACGGTCAAGTCCAGACGTAAAGATAGCTGGTACAGCAGTTCTACCTGCCACACCAGCCATCCTCACCCTGCCGACCTGCATGTTGCTTCTTCACGTCTCTTTTAAAGGATCCCAGGTTGTAAGAAAGAGAGAACGTGAGCGGGCAGAGCATTCCATTTACGGATAGTGCGACAAAGAAATGAGTGGCGACAGTTAGACGGTGACAACGTAGGCCAGCGCGCGCGGTCTTTTGTCACCGAGATGTTTCATAGACCAAGGACGTCGTACCATTCACCCATGTTAATGGGTAAAAGAATTATTTGTTTAATTTTACTTAAAACATACACGTAACTACCTTTATATATCTGTATGTTCCGAGCAATTTGCGCGCTTCTTCTTCAACAACGCTGTGTGTTTTAGAAACACATATAATATAATATTATGGTAAATGTGCATCTTTAACAATTACCTACGGAAATCACGTGATTTTTGATACAACTAATCACAATCAAGGTGTTAACTGTCATCTCTCAGTCAATGGCAAATTGCGTCATACGTTTCTTTATAGGCAAATTTCCTATGTTAATGCAGATTTTCAGCAATTTTAATTGAAATTGATTGAGATTTTGATGAGTGAGACTTTTTATGCATAATTTTAAATTATATTTTTCGCGCGGGCGGTCGTGCTTGCGCGCGTGTGTGTGTGCGTGCGTGCGTGTGTGTGGTGTGCGTGTGATGTGTGTGAGAGAGAGAAAGAGTAGGTACAACGCGTGCCTTCTAATACTTCGAGAAAACCTACACCAAAAGAGCGAAACAATTTAATGATTGGGGGTAAAATAAAAATTTAGCTCTTACCCGATCCTCATCTGAGAGGGGCTCAGTAGGTACGGGCGCGGGGTCGGGCTCCCTTTTAGGCGGGGGTGTCACCTCCAACTCACGCTGCCATTGTTGACGAAATAGAGAAAGCTCATCTTCAGAATCACGATTCTATAGTGAAACAGAATTTAAATTGGATTGGTTTACACAGCATCTTGCACTCAAAGGGCGTACGCTGCCTTAAGCGGGTGCTGCTGCATTTCTTAAAGCAGCGCTGCTTTTTATACAATATAAATTATATAAAAGAAATTCACGTCATTAAATTACAACTTAAACTATGCTTATACTGGTCTTGAAGACAATTCTAAGCTGAGGTCTAAATCAGCATCAGAAATTGAATTGAAACAATACTTAAATAACGTAATGAATATAAGTAAAATATTCAGACCTGTATATCATCTTGTAGATTAAGGTTCTCTAGTGCAGCACTTGCATCTTGCAACTCCTCAGGGTGAGAAGAAGAGTCTTCAGGCTCCTCGCCCTCACACTCATTGCCTGTTCCTCCAGAAGCAGAGCCTGAAGGTGATCCAGTTGAGGCCTTAAAAATATACTCCTTATTGTATTCAACATGGAATAAGGTGAAAAAAGAAAAAGGGGAAGACATTTTCAAAGATGGGAGGACGACTTGAAATTGACAGTTGGCTCATGCTGGTACAGGGTTGCACTTGATAGAACAAACTGGAAAGGGCTGTAGGCCTATGCCAGACGGCATGCAGAACTTACAAATTTTCTTTAACTTGAATTTCAAGAAAACAGCAGCAAAAGAAGGCTTTATAAATATTCAACATACCAACAGTGAAGAGGTTGTAGCATAAAACACTATCTAATATCAGTATACTTATATAAGCCTTTACTTTAAACAATTGTAACCTGGGGTCCTTCAATATAAAGGACCCCAGGAAATTTCAAAAGCCTTTATTGCTTATATACATACATTTTAAATACTTAAAAGCTAATACACATCATTAACCATATCAGCATGTCCTGCTGACACAGGCCTCCTACAGCTTCTTACACTCCAATCTGGCTCTAGCCACTCTAAGCCATAGGGTTCCTGCTACCATTTTTATGTCATCTGAAGACCTTTTGAGTGGTCTTCCACGTTTTCTTTAATATTGAACCTTGGGGTCCATTCCATGGTCTTCCTTGTCCACTTCCCCTTAATTTCTCTTATTATGTGGCCCACCACCATTTAAGATGTCTGATTTTAAATACTACCTACTCCTTCGAACTTAGTGACTTTCCTAATGTCAGTGACCCTCTTCTTATCTTTCCGGCAATACCCTAGGATTCCCTAGGAGCATTCTCCATTATGAAGTTAATGGAAATTATTACATTTCAAACCCGCTTTTATTGATAGTAACTGTGTAAGTAGCTATTCTCTAGTCTTCAGCTGGTTACTGAATACAACATTCTTTATTTTAAGTCACAATTAACATCGAGTTCAAATGAAGAAATTTATTAAAAATGGCTAGCAATAGAAGACACACTATTGTTTTAATATTAATCTTTCCACCCAAGACACAGCATGATAATATGTTACGTTATAATATTTGAAATATTTAACAGAAATTAAAATAAGAACTAGTAAAATATGTTCCTTAAACTTTTATTGCTTTAATACTTTTTATGCATATCTTTTAAAAAATATTGTTCTTTATGTTTTTTTAGATTGATTTTTTGATTTCAATTATCACATCCTAGTTCATTTTCAAGTAAAAATAAAGCAACTATCTGGTGAACTAAACATCATACACTGCAACAAAAATGTGTACTTATCCCAAGCCAATTTTCAAACCCTATTAACCTCTTTAATTTGTTTTTCAACAAAATGTAACCCTTGACATTTTGCAAAGACCACAGTATTTCTATACCAAATTTTATCAAAGCCAGTTCAGCAGCTTATATGTCAAAACTAAAAAGTTTAACATCCGGAATTCTTCCATGATTAACACTTTATAGGTTGCTTTCAGGCACGCATCTAGTAGCAGTTAGAATACGGTACAAAGCTGTGATTATAGTATGCTACAGTATACTTTCTTTGAATAAAATAAAAGTAATTATAAAGAAAATTGTGTAACGTTAACAAATAACAATTTATGACGTACCATCGCAAATCTTCTATTTATTCTAAATTATTTTTAAAGTAGGTATGTAAAGTTAATGTAAAATTAAACTGAACATTTATGAAGTAACTGCTGCCATTCGGCTGAAATACTTAATTTTATAGTTGTAGCATTACAATATTATTAGATTTCAGCTTGATTTCAGTAACTCAGATTTTGGATATCTCATTTGTTTGTCAATTTTATTGTCTGTCAAATTTCAATCACAAACTGTCATCTGTCAACGTCAAGCAAGTTAACCATAGATTACATGCAAGAAAAAGTCAAACGATACTTACATATATAGTCTAAACAACCTAGAATTTAGTATTTTTCATACTATATTTAAAATATAGCCTAATACTGGCATAATTTTCTAAAAACAACATCTCTCCGTCTCCTCTTCTTTTTCGCTCTTCACAGAGCATGACAAGGATACACTGTCTTTGCTTTATGCTATAACTATAATTATATGCAGTGTTATATTTTGAGGATCATGTCAGAATCGGGCTTTGGTTGTGATTTAATGGTCTAAGGAATCGGGTCATTTATGATGACACTGATTTCATAGATTTCCACGCGGCACCGCTCCTTCGTTATCGCTCCTGCAGTATGTTTTTTTATATATATATAGCCAGGTAGGCAAATGACTACCCCACCTGATGTTAAGTGGTGATAAAGTATGAAATGAAACAATGAAAATAATGCAGCCCTTCCTAAGTTTCTTGTTGTTCTTCTCAGTAGCTTTTGACTTTCATAAGCCTAAACTTCATAAATGAATTTTGAATTTTAAGCTAGATAGCAATAGTTCGTGAATCATGTTTTGTGTGAACGTGTGCTTTCAGTGGAGATGTCTATAGCCGAGAATTTCATGTGGTTGCATTTCATGATGTGGGCAATTTTATTTGACCAGATCTTGATCTAGGGTGTGAGTATAATTAGGGTGTCCATAAAAAAATAATAAAAATCCAGAATATGTTAAGAACTTGTTTATTGTAATTTGAGTCCGAATGACACAAACAAATTTAATCAAATTTTTGTATCAAAATAAACAAATTAAAGATCTTTTTCTAAATTAAACATCAAACATGTCAAGAAGTTACACATTTATATTTAGAAAACTAACAAATATTTAGAAATAAGAAGGTACTTTGGTACATATTGCTAAACTGTACTTCCAGGCCCCAAGCGGTAATACTTCACACTAGGTTAGGTTAGTGTTGTGACTATAGATGTAAAACAACCGATTAAAAACGTTTTAAACAAAATGTTGCCGTTTTAAACCCCAAATAAGTCGTTTTAAACGGTTAAAAACTGGCATACAAAAATAAAAGAACTATGTTTTTTACACTTCATTATGATCAATTTTTGGTCACCTGACGTCATGTTTCGTTTTTTGCGTTGGCAACGTTTGCGTCGAGTAACGACGAGTGACGTCAACGAGAGTGCGAGAGTGTGAGTTTGGTTTTAAACCGAATCAAATTGATTTATATCGTTTGAAAACAATGCTTTTTTTTTTATTTACCAACACAGAGTTTTTAACTTATGATAAGAGTTTTCATAACTTAGATAGGTTATACCTATGCTTGGTCGCGGATGGACCAACTAGAACTAAATTCGCTAAGTATATCAATATCAGTAAGTATATCACACATTTAAAAATCTTTATACAGTTTAAAGGTAATCCGTTATATTCCTACCTCGGTAAAATCAAGACATAGTTATAATTATGAAAAACATAGTGATCAACACCAACCGTTTTAAATCGAAAAAAAATGGTTTATTTAGGTTTTAAACGGTTTTTTCCGTTTTAAACGGATTGGTTTTATTGGTTTTAAACCGGCCTTACATCTATAGTTGTGACCACAACACGCGAGCCGAGCGAGTAAAGCGAGCGTGACGCGGCAGCCGCAGCGGCCGGTTAACAGCCAGAAAAAAATTAATAAAAGAGACCATTTCTAAAAAAAAAAACAAGTATCACCTCTTGGGCCCTGAAGTACAGTTTTACCTAGTTATTTGTTGGCGCATGACAAACTTTGGTGACACTTTGAAGTACAAAGTGTTTTGTTCTTGAAATATGCGTAAATAACGAATTATGCACTTTTTTACTGCGAGAAACCACATTGTCGGCAGCCGCCGCCATATAGATATTTAAAAAAGCGCCTCTACCGGTAACTAATATAACTACTTTACAGATCAAATATTTTTTGCCGTTTCATGAAGAAGCCGCGCGTTTAGTTGGCCATATCGTGAAACGATTTCTCATCATTGATCTACCCAAACCACATCATGATGTGGCCAATAGACATTTCATGAAAATTCTCGAGCATTTCATGAAGTGAGCAAATCTACGATATGACCACGACATCTATACTGCTTTCCTATTGATATGATCTGTTATGGATAAACTCAATATAAAAAAACAACAAATAACAACAAAAACGATCTGTGTTTATACCCTTAAATAAATGATTGGTCTCCCTTCACTCGACGAAGCGAGACCAATCATTAATCTATGTTTATACCTATATATCGTTTATGACACAGCAAATACAGGTCAAATATTATTGTCTATTCTAAATTAAAATTAAAGGTGAGGTTGTGCAAATGGAATTATAAAATAATAATAATTTAATAGTACGCAAAAAAAAAACTAGGTACCTACCTTAGTCCAAAACAAACAAAAATCATTTTCTAGTTAGATTAAAAATCATTTATTAGAATTTTTATTAGCCTTACATGTATGTTTACGGTTACAACTCAGGAACCAATAAATATTTTACATATCCATAACATTTTAATTCATTACAATCTCGGTATTGTAACAATTATATTATTATGATATGAATATTTATAGTTTTTGCTTCTTCTTGTTTTTTATGTAATTGACTGCGTATTACTATCCAAAAATAAATTAATAATCCAGTGTACATAAATGCAAAAGTTAGATACGAAACTCCATAAATAAAATTACCATAGTATAGAATTTCCATTGAAATAACAAGAGCTACTAAAAAACTCACGAAAATATAAAATAACATGGTACCTAAATAAATAACGTACAGTTTCCTCACACGAGTAAATCCAGCTACAAATAAAACTACATGACTTATAAAAACAATAAGACCAGCAATTTTGTATACAATTGACGCTGCAATATTAAAGGATGTAGGCATTCCAATTTTATTCAGAATTTCTGTTCCAGTGGATGAGGCGAGAAATATACATACTGCAGAAGGTAACAATCCTAGTAAAGCAATAACAAAGGTTGCTTTTCGCAAAGGAATACAGAAACAGCAATTGAAAACGATAGGGCAATAGTCCAAATAATTTTTCTTCATGTTGAAACCAAACAAAAATTAATATAAATTAGTTCCACATCAAAGATATTTATAGCGCCAGTAATAATCACTCCGTTTAATTAATTCAAATTACTCCCATAGCATAGTCCACGCACAGACTATGTTTAACGAACTATGTAATTTTATGGGAGATCGAACAGAAACACAACAGCCATTAGTTTGCAACGACAGACATATAATAAATATAATAGTATTATATGTCTGTGTTTGCAACTGATTTATTTGTTGCCAAGGAGATCATACTGCTATACAAAAAAATAGTCCATGCAATCTATGACACTCCCTAGGCAACAAAACAGAGCAACAAAACCTTAATTAAATCAAAATAAATGACACAGGCTAAAATTACAATGATTATTTACTTAGGAACTGTATGTACTTGTACAAGAGGTCGGTTTGTTAGGACGCCGACAGATACGATCGCTACGGGTAGTCAGTAGTCGTTTAGTCTGGTTGGGCCAACCGTCGAGTCAATATCCGAGTCCATATTTTGGTCAGTCGTCGAGCCTGATTCTGGATTCGGTAAGTCTCTCTCTAGATTCTTTGTGGATCCTTGATGGAGCTCAAGTGGGTAGAGACGTTGGAAAGGACTCACCTTAAATCCATTTGCGACACGGACCATCGGGACCATTGCCACTCGCTCATGCCCGTCGCGGCCCGCGTACGTCTCTGTGATGACCCCTAAAGGCCACATGAGACGCTTGCACTCGCAGCCTATCAAAACAATGTCACCCTTGTGCAACGAATACCTGCTGCTTGCAGCATTTTTCTGTATTAAAAAGAACATGTATTCGGACTAATTCGGAGCGAAAACGCTGACAAAAATGATTTCGTAGGTCATGACAATATCTCGCTCTCTTATTCAATGCCTTATGGTCGATCTCGTCGAAATCATCAACCTCATTACCCATTAACGGCTGGATAAATACTTGTGGGGTAAGCGGTCGTACGTCGTCAGTTGCGTTACTTACGTATGTCAACGGTTTATTATTGCTCGTTGCTTTGCAATCGCACAACACCGTCTGTAGTTCCATCAACAACATGACCCAAATTTTTTACAAGAATATTATGTGACGCGAGTCAAAACGCTTATGCTACTTGTGCTTTTCGTCGATCTCAATTTAAAAGCGAAATGTACAAGTGTACAGTGTGTATGTAGTGTGTGTACCTATGGTAATAGCAAAAGCGATGGTAAATCCTACCAAAAAGATCACAATACCTCGCCTAGAGTTAATTGCTGCTACTTTGGCATTTAGATTAGGCAATGCCACACAGCTGGGCTTGAACCTGAGTATGTTTCCGACATATTACTGGACGGATTCAAGTTTAATTCTGTGCTGGGTGAAAGGAGAAGGTGCCTGGGGTGTTTTTCGTCGCTAATAGAGTGCGAGAAATAAGATCACATTTCAGTCCAGAAGCTTGGCGGCATGTACCAGGGAGCTTTAACCCAGCAGATTTACTGTCTGGAGGTATAGGTATCAAACAATTCATAGAATCTTAATGGTAGGATGGCCCATCCTGGTTATATTTAGGGCGTGACAGTTTACCTTCGACTGATTTCACAGTAGACTCAAATAAATAAGATCAAGAGAGATGGTAATAAGAGCTATAAAATAATATGTGAATGAATTTCAAATACAAGCATTGAAGGTTAATTCTGAATTTGTTCTACAAAAATAGCCCAAGAAGATTAACCCCTCGGCTGTGTAAATGGATGATTTCTGCCAGGGGTTGAGAAATATATTTTTCATCCCACCACCTCGGAAAGTGTAATTTTGCGCTTCGAAATCTGGCTGGAAAATTCTATTTTATTCGCTTGAGCGGCAAAGTAGATTTGAATTTAGAACATCACATATAATGAGTACTCAATATAATTGTAAATTCAAAACGTCATTAAACCTATTTAATGTAACCTCTATGGTGCCAAATTTATGATTAGAACTTTTTAAATTGTGAAAAAAATTAAATTTGGAACCTTCTTGGTTTCTTTGTTTTATTTGCGTGCTTCGCGCCATTCTAGTTTTTCACGTTTTATTGCTTAATATAATTAACATAACCTAAAAACTGTACAAAAAAATCAACTAAAATGAGTGACATTAGCGACGATGAAGTTTATCTAACGCCAACTGAGTTAACTGAAACAGTTAATAATGCGCAAATGAGCCTTCTCCCTCAGCAATCACGAGAGAAGTATTTGAAACAGTACGATATATTTAACATGTGGCGACTAGCTAAAGGAGCAAAAACTTTCTCCGAAAACGTTTTGCTGGCATATTTTATAGAATTATCTGAGACCAAGAAAGCAAGCACGCTATGGAGTACGTATTCAATGCTAAAATTAACAATTAAGATGAAGAAAGACGTTCATATCGACACCTATCATAAATTAGTGGCATTTTCAAAAAGAGCCTCATCTGGTTATAAACCAAAAAAATCGAAGGTTTTCACAGCATCTGAAATTGCAAAGTTTATTAATGAAGCACCTGATTCCGTATATTTAGCGGCAAAAGTAAGTCAATACGTGTAATTTTTTGTTGTTGATAAAATTGTACATAGTACTTACAATATTTTTAATTTGATTAATTTATTTACGATTATAAATACTTCTTTTGTTACAGGTTGTTCTTATTATTGGTATAACCGGAGCATGTCGAACAAATGAACTTACACTACTTAATGTCAATAACGTATCAAAATATTCTCATAATTCTGATGAATTGCTATTAATTAATGTACTAAATACCAAGACAAAAAAAGACCGCAACTTCGTTATTCGCAAGGAATATGTAAACATTGTTCAGAAATATCAAGCTTTACGTCCTTCTAACACCCCAATTGAACGATTTTTTCTACAATATCGCAACGGAAAGTGTATCCGACAACCTATGGGTCAGAATAAAATTGGCAGTATTCCACGAGAAATAGCAACTTTTCTCGGACTTTTAGAACCCCCGTTATACACCGGTCACTGTTTTAGAAGAACCTCAGCCACACTTTTGGCCGAATCAGGGGCTGATCTTCTATCGCTTAAGCGCCATGGAGGCTGGAAGTCTAATTCGGTTGTAGAGGGATACATAGAGGATTCAATCCAAAGTAAATCAAAAATTTGTAATAGTATCGTGGAGGCCATAACGCTGAAAGAACCTCTGTCAGATTCTTGGTCTCGCCCTTCTACATCTAAAATGAGCCCCCATAAGATTGGAAACAATAGCCCTCTCTCGCCAACATTTACGCCAATAGAATCCAATGAATCGGCACAACTATTTAAAATTACTGATACGAGTAGTTTACCACAAAACAGCGCACAATTCACAAACACCAACATAACATTACCTAACAAAAATATTAAACTTAACATAAGTAACTGTAGCAACGTTACATTTAATATTTCTTAATTATTTTCTACTTCTTATTATTTTCTTCAATTTATAGATTATCTTAATGTGTTTTAATTGAAATAAAAATATTTTGTCATTATAAATTGTTTTCTTTTTCATTTTGTCATTTCCTCGCTGAGGTGGGATGAAAAGTTACGTATTGCACTCGAGTGGAAAGATTTTTCACCTTGTGCTCGTTTGTTTCCCTCGCTGACGCTCAGGATTCTAATTTAGAATCACTCGCTGCGCTCGTGATTCAACTTTAGAATCCTTCGCTTGCTCGGTCATCCAAATCGAGCACGCGGTTAAAAAGGAACTTTCCACTCTTGTATAATAAATAACTATTCATATTTTAATTTTTCCTATTTTGAGTTTTTTCATATTTGGTATTCGTTTTCAATTTACACATCTAATATATGAAGCCCGATCTGATATATGAAGACATAAATGAAGCCTGGATGTACAGTAGAATTCGAATAACAAGAGGAAAATCGGTCGGAAAACTTTTTAATTGTCCGGCCGTGAAAAACTAAGTGGATGGCTAAACGGCCGAGGAGTTTAACCAACGATATTAAATACCCTAGATACACCATAGATACACCAACACGAACAAAATCATGCCCGAAACCTGTCCAAAAGGTACATTGGACGATCCGATACGATTACGGAGCTCTGTAAGATAATCGCATAGTCTAAACAATATAAGTCATTATTTAAACATTGAAAATCACCTTTAACCTCCTGAGAACCACAACTTTTGTTTTCAGGAATTTAATTTAAAACTTACTGGATCGATTTTATAGGTCACTAGATGTTCTCAAAAAATAGAAAAAAAATGTCTGTTGGAAAATCTAAATTTTCTCAATGTAATATATACATAACATCAGTTCTGTATACCTAATGTGTAAATTGCAGTATGTTTACAATATAAAAATATTTAGTTCTGTTTACGTACTTTGTGCTTAGGGGTACAGTACCCCTAGCACGAACCATTATCGAAATCGAATAGTTTGCAAACCGAAATCTCAATGTCAATTTTGTATGGAAACTTGCACAGCAGTGCCACTTTGGACGTAACGGGAACTAAACATCAGTACACATTTGACAATGACATTTCGGACTCGCAAACGTTACGAATTCGTAACGTTTGCGTGCTAGGGGTACTGTAATTAATTCTTTCGAATTTAGAACAATTTTTTATGCAACTTCATGGGCGGAAAAAAGTCAAAATGCACAGCGCGGTACCGAAAGAATAGTGTTGTCTCTTTTTGTCTTGCAATAATTTCCAACACTACTTTCTCTGTCATGCGCTGTCCGATCAGATTTCAATATTTATGACAACGAAAGAAAATAAATTTAATTAATTATGAAATCTAAAAACTGACGAGTGAAATGTTACACCATTAGCTTTATTTGTATTTCTCGAATTGTTTCTGAAGGCACACGGCGGCATTTTAATACTTTTCTCGCAAATTGCCTGCGATATTTTATTCACCAACGTCAAACTGTCACTATGTTCAGATGACCACTGATTAGACAAGCCATGAAGATATGGGACTTAGCCTATTCGAGTGCTGTCAGCTTTCAGAGCGGTGAAACTATGGTAAGGGCATATCTAACAATCCAAATCTTTGGTGCAGAAGGTCGAAATTTCCAGAACAAAAACGTTGAAACCAAAAACGTACCGTGCTTTCTTTTGCGATTACCACCGCCGTACACATCATTAATCCTTCGAGCTGTTTCTGCAGCCCTGGTGCCACGGTAGAACTCGTACTCGTAAATATACCGATATTTCATGTTTTCCATTGTGCGGTAAGGTGGTATTGTGAGGAATAAAAACAAATGAATGAATGTTTTCATGACTCAAATGTATCAGCTAAATTAATTTAATTTGAATTTGGAATTCTTAACCAAAGAGAAGATATTTCAGATCAAAGTGGTCAGTAGGTACAACAAAACGCTGATTTCATATGTAAGGACCTAATAGTTATAGTGCGTTTCATCAAATAGTTCCTATGCCGTCATGTTGGTTACCAATTCAACAAAGCTATTTGATTGGTTAACAAGTTAACCAGGAGAGATGTCATAACGTGATTGGTGATGACACGTTGACAGACAGGAATGCCAACATGACGGCATAGGAACTATTTGATGAAACACACTATACATAGACTCAGTTACGTTAGATAGATGCCTTAATACTTACTGAAACAAAATTCATCTTTTTATAATAATGATTTTATTGTACGACAGTTTTACACAATCTACTTAAAAAGGGTAAACAATTTATTGTATTCAAAACTGTGACCCTACACTTATTAAATAATTCACAAAAAAACAATAATATAATAATAATAATTAACATCGATAAAATCACAATAAAATAATCCATTAAAATTGATACTTTAGTCCCCGTAGCATAAGCACCACAATTTACATTATATCACGTTTTTATCGCGTCTAACTGTCAAACTTCATAGTAATTTTGACAATTGAGCGTGATAAAAACGCGTTATATATTATGTCGCGATGCTTAAGCTGGCTCATGCGTTTATTTATAATTTCAAAATCAATCAATAACTTACAAACTATCTGCCTAGATAATTTAACTTAATCCGTAATCATATTAATTTAGTGAAAATTTGTACTTTCGACAATCAAATATACAAATTAGTTTAATAAATAACACTACCATAAAAAACACTACGAAATTTAAAAAAAAATATTAAAAATTACTTTTCAACCTCTGCTATTAATAAAAACGCTTCTGAACTTCAAAATATATGTATATGAACACCGTTAAAAATTTTAAGACACAGAAAAATAATCGAAGTGATATGTAATAGACCCTCGCAGGATGCCCAAATCATTGCCCTTCGATTACCCCCAAGTGCCACAGACACGTATTCAATACCCTTAGCACGAACCAATATCAAATTCGAATAGTATGCGAGTGTGAAATGTCATTGTCTCATTTTGCAAGGAAATTTCAACAGCAGCGCCATAACGGGAGTAACGAGAACTAAAAATCAATACACATTTGACAGTGACATAGATACACATTTGATAGCGAGCAGTATTCATTGAATACGCACAAACGCTCGACGCATCTCCTCGTGTTGCTTACTTGCTTACCCATACCCCCACTAATATATAAATAAAATAAATTGCTGCGCTGCGGCTTACCCCATCCCCTTAACTAATAAGGCGCTTGCTCAAAAGCTGCTCAAGCTACGGGGAGCTCCTATTTATCAAAGTCCAGAAGCGTTATGTTGTACCAGTTGACTGTCAAAGTATTGAGCAGGGAAATGAGTAGTGTAAATAAAGTTTAGTTGACGCCGTTTATGGCAGCGAGGTCGTCTCGTTGCTCGTACGAAGAGCGTGGGGCGATCTTCTCTCTCTCTTCGTTACCCGCCAGGAAGACCGCTAGATGCTCCTGAGGAAAACAAACGAATGTGAATGCCGAATGCCAAATGAATCACAGAGTAAAAGAGCATCGAAGCGGTTATTCCGTTTAGCACATTTTAACGAAAAGCTTTACTGATTGATAGGGTTACCCCGTATTCGGGGTAAAAGCTGATAACGGAACTCTATTAAGAGACCTCCGCTTACATTCCGTATATTAGTGGTAAGTGTCTCAAGAAACGTATCAGGTAGGTATGTACCTGTAATTTTATAAACCATAACAACAGAACTAAGAAATAAAATAAATTCTGGATAACTCTCAACAATTAGTCCCAAACTACACGGAAATAGTGCTGTAGAAATTAAATTACGTAATGTGCGAATTACATAATGTATTATAGTATTCCGCGTCTGTCTGTATATCTGCTAACTTCTCCTAAGCCACGCAACGTAATGATGCGGTTTTCACCATAAGTTAATAAAAATTATACAAGAGGTTCCCAATCAGTAAACATGAATTTGAGGCGTTTTAGCAAATTGCAATGACTTTATTGCTGAAGTTATTAACCTTGGACGATGATACGGAACCGTTCTTGTGCGAGTTCGACTCGCACTTGGCTGGTTTTTTAATTGGAGTACCTACAGTGAGACAGAAAATAGAATTAAACAAAGACCATCAGACAATGGCGCTAACTTTCTTTACATAGAATTAAGTAAGTACTTCCGCAAGATGATTAACTGGATCAGATAGAGAATAGGTACCTAAACATTCTTTTAATGTTATTAAATAACGTGCTTCTTATGGATTTTGTACTATCGATTTGAATAATTGCTTGGTAACTCTCAATAATGCGGATCGCCGTAAATAGTTATTTTAAAATCACTAAATGTACGCGGGAGAAAATCTGAAACAACTAACAACACAAAAACAAAAGACATCAGCATTTAGCTATAGATTGATGGGTTATTCGTGCTTATAGTTAATCAGCCTAACATTTACTTCTTCTCTAGAGCTGAATAACAACAGCGCTCATCTACTCACCAAGTAAGTGTGCGAGGTCTGCTTCAGCTGCTGCAGGAGAGCTGCCAGTTTGCTGCGCCATCCTTTCACCTCTGCGATCGCTGTCTCCACGGGTAGCGTCTGCAAGTTGATAAAATACCATATATTTATCTCTTTTGTTCTTATCAGAACACAGGTTCAAATTCCCATTAAAGCATGGCGGTACATGATTAAAAAATGTACAGAGGATTGTTTACTCATGTGATAGAGTGGCAACAAGTTTTAAAGACCATTTTGTAGTAAATCTAAAGAAAATTTAACTAACAATAATTCTACTCGGTTCAAGTATCATGCGGTACCAAGTAAAATAAGATGATTAGTGGAATATGTGATGTAGCTTTGCTTATCTTTGAGGAACATGATGGTGCAGTGGTTCTCGCCATTGCGTGTTCGGCAGCCATTGTGGAAATTAAGCTAGATTTGCATACTGATAATAGGATGGCCTAATGTGTATTACATCGAGCACCTCTGTGCTACGGAAAGGCAACTCAAGGAGTTGGTCCCAGTTCTACTAACCTGAATCTGAGATATTGAAATAATTTTCTAGATCCAGAAACACACTTCGACAATGTCATTGGGCATAGATCGATGAAATTAAGTTTCTATTCTTTAACAATTATTGTGGCAAACTTGTGGATCGGCTAGTCTGTCTGTACGTTGATAGGCTTATTTGTCCTATCTGTGCAGTTCATTAGCTAATATCCTAAAAAAGTATTTCTTATTTTAACTTAACAAAATTTTAAACCTACCTTAAGTAGGGAGTCAGCTGCTGCCGATAAATTTCTGGTGATCAAATTGAAGCCTTCGCGTAAGTTCCTGTAAAACAACAACAATCTTTATCATAAAACTGCTAGTGTAAATAGGAATGTGTATGATCGAGAAGGAAATAAAAGATTGTGACAAGTCATTCGTGATGATTGCATGCATTACATTTTGAATTTTAGTTCCCGTTGACAGTCGTTTAATATTGCAACATATTCCTAAGTCCAAAATAAGCGGAAGTAAAATAAGGTTTGGGCAATGTTACCATCATGAACCTATGATAGGTACCCTAACCCCTACTGAAGATACCTGTTAGATTACTTTGGGCATTAAATTTAATTAAATGAATCAATGGGACACGTGTTGTTATTGATATCAAAGGAAAGCATCATATTTAAGCAAACTTAAAGGTTGAGTAATCGTCTTTGAGACTCAGGTCGACTGTTATAATATTATTACCTCGGCAAATCCGTATGCATTTAGTTGATGAGGTGCACTATCTTCCTTGCGGTCTCGCGCGCCAGCAGCACCAGCAGCTCCTCCACGGTGGCGGGTTGCCCTTGGTTCTCGGGCTCCGGTTGACTGAGCGATGCGTACAGCTCCTTGGCCTTCTTCAAAGCGAGCGCTGGGTCACTGTTATAATATTCTCACCTCGGCAAGTCCGTGTGCGTATAGTTGATGAGGTGCACCATCTTCCTGGCGGTCTCGCGCGCCAGCAACACTAGCAGCTCCTCCACAGTAGCGGGCCGCGCCTGGTTCTCGGGCTCCGGCTGACTGAGCGACGTGTACAGCTCCTTGGCCTTCTTCCAAGCGAGCACCGGGTCTGTTGCCACCTGGGAAAAGTTGACAATCACAGATATGTTAAACGCTGTGGGCAAGGAAAATACAATTATACATTAAGTTTCTTAATAGTATGCTAGAGTAGTTGAGGTATTGTGAGTGGGGCAAAAGAATAGTATAGAATGCGTTGGTTCCTAGATTTTACACAAGGTTACCTAGAACAAAGATACTGTAAGCGTAGATGACTAGTAATATGCCTATTGTACTATGCACAAACGTATACTTGCGCTTTGGTTTCAGAGAGCTAGCAGTGCGAATTTCTGGTTAGGTTAGTAAAGCTAATCAGACTTGCCGGTTCGGCAACCTAGACTAACACGTGCAGTCGCTCCTTGATCGCCGTGAGGCGGCGCTGCAACTTCCTGCTAAGGTGCGTGTTAGTCAGAGTCACCAGCTCTGCAATATCAACAAGTAGGTAGATTTGCTCCTTGATCTCTTTAGCTTCATCGAGCGCCTCTTGGTGAGGCCGTGCTGTAGGTTCCTTGTCAAGATGCGTTAGTTAGACTCACCAGTTCGGAAACCTCGCCTTAACTTCAGCAATCGCTGCTGTTGAGTTGGCGATGCAACTTACTACAGAGATAGCCGGACTGGTTCCCTGCAAGTGATAGGTAATTAGACTCACCAGTTCAGCAACGTAGGCCAGCACGTGTATTTGTTTCTTGATTGCTTTAGCTTCGGCGAGCGCCTGCCTGGTGAGGTCGCGCTGTAGGTTACTTGTCAAGACGCGTTAGTTAGACTCACCAGTTCGGAAACCTCGCCTTAGCTTCAGCAATCGCTGCTGTTGAGTTGGCGCTGCAACTTACTACAGAGATAGCCGGACTGGTTTCCTGCAAGTGATAGGTAATCAGACTCACCAGTTCAGCGACGTAGGCCAGCACGTGTATTTGTTTCTTGATTGCTTTAGCTTCGGCGAGCGCCTGCCTGGTGAGGCCGCACTGTAGATTACTTGTCAAGACGCGTTAGTTAGACTCACCAGTTCGGAAACCTCGCCTTAGCTTCAGCAATCGCTGCTGTTGAGTTGGCGCTGCAACTTACTACAGAGATAGCCGGACTGGTTCCCTGCAAGTAATAGGTAATCAAACTCACCAGTTCAGCAACGTAGGCCAGTACGTGTATTTGTTCCTTGGTTGCTTTAGCTTCGGCGGGCGCCTGCCTGGTAAGGCCGCGCTGTAGGTTACTTGTCAAGACGCGTTAGTTAGACTCACCAGTTCGGAAACCTCGCCTTAGCTTCAGCAATCGCTGCTGTTCAGTTGGCGCTGCAACTTACTACAGAGATAGCCGGACTGGTTCCCTGCAAGTGATAGGTAATCAGACTCACCAGATCAGCAACGTAGGCCAGCACGTGTATTTGTTCCTTGATTGCTTTAGCTTCGGCGAGCGCCTGCCTGGTGAGGCCGCGCTGTAGGTTACTTGTCAAGACGCGTTAGTTAGACTCACCAGTTCGGAAACCTCGCCTTAGCTTCAGCGATTGCCTGCTGTTGAGTTGGCGCTGCAACTTACTACAAAGATAGCCGGACTGGTTCCCTGCAAGTGATAGGTAATCAGACTCACCAGTTCAGCAACGTAGGCCAGCACGTGTATTTGTTCCTTGATTGCTTTAGCTTCGGCGAGCGCCTGCCTGGTGAGGCGTCGTTGCAGCTTCCTGCTGAGGCGCGCGCCGTGCTGCACGGCCTGTGCTGCGCACGCGCGGCCACCCTCGCACGACCCGCCGTCGACCGCGTCAGCGCTCGTCACTATAATCATTACTACGGTTAGAATAACACTCACTGCTCGCGCTTATTAGAAACTACTACTACAGAGTTAGTTATTTTTAGGGATGTCGAAAGTTGAAAAAAAACATCGATATATCGATACATCGATCTTTTAAAAAATATCAATATCGGCTTCGATATATCGCGAAAAAAACATCGATATATCGGACCAATTTTCCCAAAAATAACAGTATCTCACGAAATATGACACGCGGAATAATAATGGAACGAAAATTATCTCCCTAAAAATAGACTCTATTTTCGAATGATGAAAATGATTGCAGGGCCTCTCAGTTAAATGATTGCAGCGTCTCTTTCGTAAACAAGACTAGATAGTCACATATTTCACAGAATATAATGGAAATCAGCACAACCAATTCACCAGCGAAACAGATTTACAAATAATAGACAATACTAAATACAGCACTGATCATAGATATGTTGAATATCATTAATCTGAGATCCAGTTACGATTTTTCCAGATACGAATTTAGTTAGATCGTGATATGCCGCTAATAATTAAAAAAATATCGTTTTTGATACGAATTTCGATATCGGTTATTTTGTATCGATGTATCGATATATCGAATCAAAATATATCGGCAAAAAATATCGATATATCGATACATCGATATATTTTCAACAAGCCTAGTTATTTTAAAGAAAGAAGCAAATGTAAGGTGTTGAGGACAGTGCGTGCCATGTAACTGTCTGGCTACTACTATCACTAGTAGGGCATCATAGGTCTACCTTATAGGTGGATCAGGGAGATGGGATCATAAGCATCACGCGAGCTCAGAGCGGATTGAATCGGATTCATGTATGCTAATAATTGCAGATATAGCAACAACAACTACAACTTTCTCACTCACATGCGAACCATTTAGAAAAACTGAAATGTTAGGTCTTTGCGTTACGAGCTCAGCTCAGTACAAAAACCACTGTTTAATTGTAAGCTAAGTTAAAATTTTGTATTGGTAAATAAATATATTTTGAAATATATTTAGATTTTATGATAGCCGAGATTAACGACTAATCGTCCCTTCCAAAACATGAAAGATCTCGAGATAATATATTTTTGGTCACTCATTCATTATTATACATATTACCGACCATGCCAAAGTTTTTTAAATTCCACGATCGCGCTCCTACTGTGTTTTTAACTAGTGGCCCGCCTTCGCTTCGGTGTAGAGATGTAGTGTAGACAATAGTTTTTGTGATTTGATTTCACCAGGGTGTGAAAAATATACCAAAAATAACCTTATATCGCTCACGCTGCGGCAGTCATTGACAATAAAGCAAAGTGGTGTACTAAAATTTTATAGAGGATATAAATATCAACAAAAAATTCTGCCAAATCATATTATGTCTAACTATTACAGTTATATCACAACTAAAGGTCCCCTGCGGTTTCACCCGCGTTAATTTGAGAGAAAGGTTAAAGTGAGTAAAACTTAAAAGATATTTTTATAGAACTTTTAAAGGGGAACAATCCTGCCATACATGATTTTTGTGTAACTTTAATCATTTGCGCAGCGCACGCAACAGAATCCCCCAAATGGAATATTTTTATCCGTTTTTGCAACATTTTATATACTCCGATATTCGCCGATAGTCCGCTCTTTCTGATTGCATCATAATATTATATAGCTTTAAGCCTTTCTCAATAAATGCACTATCTTACACAAAGATATTTTTTTAAATCGGACCATTAGTTCCTTAGATTTGTGTTCTACGAAAAATGGTGCATTCGTACAACTAAATGAGTCCTAAACTACGCAATAAAATTTTCAATATCATATGTCCTAAAAAGTGCATTTATGCATTCTCTATAGAAGAAAACTTGTCTGTTTTGACGTTTTTTAAGCGAATCTGACCAATGATTCAAGTGGGTCAGGAATCAGATTGTACAATTATACAACTAAGGGGCAGTCTTGTTATCTTGTTTGTACACCTTTTAAATACAATAATATGCAATAAATTACCAACACAACAATTTAATTGCGAACGTCATCTTGCTTTGAAGATAAGTTCCATTTTTTTTCATCAGAAATTTATTAGAGTTCAAAATAAAGAATCTTTATTTTACTTTTGTCGCGGCACGATGATGGCCCTTTTGGCATATTGCAATAGTGACGCGAAAAGTCAACCTGTTATCGAAAAAATCTATCTATCCAATTTAATGAAATACGAGCCACATGTAGGTATTACAGATTTTGATTTTTTTTACTTATATTGCAAAAAGTTGCTGAATTTAAAGATTGAGTAAAACGAAAATATACAGTTATGTAGCGAATAAGTACACTTTTATTATTTGTATGGGATAACATTTCCTAATGATACTAAGAATAAAACAAATATTTAAATTAATTTACTTAATCCTTTAAAGATTCTGTTAAATGACCGATCTTTTTGAGTTAAAATGATATTATATTTAATTGATTTAAACTTGAAAAGATTTTCGTAACCTTAATATAAGTTAGACCATGATTTTATATAGTTTTGTAAAATTTTAATTCTAAGCCCTAAAATTACAGATTCGATGAAGTTTATGACTAAATGAGCGTTTCTAATGACAATGAAGAACAATAATTATTTCTTCCAAATGAAGAACTAATTTCGAAATTAGAATATGCAACTTCGTGAACGCACAAAAATCAAAACGGTCATCATAGCGTGCCGCTAGAATAGTCAGTAACACAAAATTCTATTAATTTTATTATAATTATTAATTTAATTTTAATTTTATTGCAATGTATAATTTGTTTTTAATTTAAAGTTTTAATTAATGTGACCTGCTGTAGGCGTTGGAACTAGTTCTGTAAGTCAGCATGTTTCTTGAATAAAAAAAAATGGGTGCGTGTACTTATGTAGGCGCGTGAGAAGTTATCCTTCTTTGGCATCGTTTAAAATTAGTTTTTAATTGCATGCAAATAATTAATTACAATAAATTAATAAAAAAACTGGAAAAGGACACAGTCAATAAAGTTCAGTTTTAATTTGAAAAATTAAATAATTAATCAAAATATTCAATTAAAATCGCTACTGAATATAATTTATTAGAACATATGTGATTTGCACTTGTATGAAACTCAAACACGTATTCCGAATATACAAACTAGAAACATGTGGATAAATATTATAAATATGAATACCTATAACTGTTACTTTATTACAAAAAATAAAGATGTGGTTTTTGGTTCTACTACACCAATGGTCAAGAGATGGCGCTGTAGTCTCCTGAATCGCGCTTTGGTTCCGTTGTTCCAGATTAATAAATACTTTTGATAGGCCTTCACAATGCAGTCGTTAGCACCCACTAAATAGAGATTCTATTTCTATTTTGTTGGTAGATTTTCTTAATGTGCAGTAAACACAAAAGTAAAATTTTGTGTTACAGTGATGCGCGCGCATCTTAAAATTTCACTCTCATCATTTTTTCATAACGCGCCTAAAGAAGTATAACTTCAATAAAAAAAAACTGAATAACGGGGTTCGAAATTTGAAAAAAATATTTGCCAGAATAGAAGGGCTGCTGCGAATATATTATAACAAGATGACCAATATAGGTAATTTCATTTCATGTCAACAAGACGAACCTTGGTAGTATTCGTGAAATAATTTATTTACGTATAGATATGATTCATCATAGCATCACCGAGAGGTGATGAACCCTGTGATATGTACCCTGTTCGCTATCGTGACTGGGGGCTCATAGTCCAAGTTAGTGACACGGGCTATTATTCTAATTTGTCACCCAGGCAACCGATAACACACTGTCGTAAAACTATCAACTAACTACTTCACCATTAACCTCATTTTAAGAAACCACCCTAACAATGTAAAAACCCAAAGAATATTTTACTAGGTTGATGATGATGGATTTTTTCTAATACAAAATTCTTTAGATTTAAATCATAGCAGTTAAATGCTTAAAAATAAAAATATAACGTGATAGCCTTTAAATCTATTATGCCACCTACACAAATTTGGTGGTATGTTCGATATCAATTAATGAAATAACTTTATCACCCCACTTTCGTTGCATTATATCGTTTACATCGAATTTCTTATTTATAATGCAAGTTAACTATTAAATAATTAAGAGATCTGCATAGTTAATTGGCTTGCAAATTATAATTTTGACTCGAAATCACAGTTCAAGGATCAGCTAGTTATCGGAAATTATCATTTTTATTTTCCGCTGTTTGATGTTTGTTTGCATCACCATTTTCTTGTTTTTTCGTAATTTTTTACATAACATTGCGACAATGTTGCGGAATGGATAATAGCAGTTTTTTATCGTTTCTAGACCTTTCAAATATACCGTACGATACGTCAGAGTAAGGCACGTGCTTTGCTCAAGCAAAGCCGGTAATTGTTTCTAATAAGGTTTGTATTATATAAGCTCATAAAAAATATGGGGAAAATGGATTAAGCAATACCTGAAACGCGGCTTACCCTCTCGCACGCACGCGTCATCTTGGGCGATAAGATTTCAAACAAAAATTGAGTAATGAAGACTCTATTGGAGATGTTCTGTGGCTCACACTCAGGGACTCTACATCCCAATGAACGAAGTGTGCGGTGCACAGGCGCAGACGTTACAAGCGCCAGTTGGATGAGCAATGCTAATTAAGTATTATAAACTATTTTTGTTTAACAAAAATCGGGTAGTATTTATTATAAATACTCAACGTCAGCGCTGTCCTGTTTGTCGGACGGCAGGGATATGTCGACGGTGGTGAGATCACAGTCACGGTAATAATATCATACAGTATTCTATCTTCATACAAACGGTCGGAAAGCGAGTCATACCTACGCCACTCGAGTTCGATGTGCTCTCGGTGGGCACCCAGTCGCGAATGCGCCGCCGCGCCGCGACGACGACCGAACGGTCTGAATTGTTTTTTATGCAGTTAGCCATGCTTAAACGTGCGTTTTGTATAGTAAATATTTGATTTAATTAAGTAGATACCTACATAATTTAGTATGGAAAAGAACAAACGACGATCAATATCGTACAACAGCACAATTGCTGTTTTTGGTTGCTTGAACTCTTCAATAACACACCCAGAGATGTCATTTTTTAAATTACCTGAAATATTGGAAAGGTGTCTTACCTTTATAGAATATTTTTTACCTATCTACTAGTACGTTATTTGTTTCTAATATTTAGGTATTTCGGTTTTTCTATCGGGCTAAATATCTGGAATAATATATAAATAAGTGGTTACGATGAAAAAAGAGACAAACGAGTAATCTACCTACACTCGCGTTAAAAACAAAACTACATAAAATACTGTAGGCTGGCGGCCCTACCGCGTGCCAACACAGCGCTCGGTCGTAGGCATTTATTTTCAAGGACAGGGCGGAGTCACAATACTGTATAGATAATATTACCGTGCCACAGTTAAGCGCGGTGACGCGCGAACCCAGCACGGCGATGCCCAGCTGCTTCACCATGTCGACGCGCTTCAGCACGAGCCGACGCGTCTCTGAATACTTCTAGCACTCACCGTCAGCGGTGTCCTGTTTGTCGGGCGGCAGGTACATGTCGACGTACTTGTCGGCGGTGGTGAGAGCACGGTCGAGCGCGGTGGCGGTGACGGCGGTGACGCGCGAGTCCAGCACTGCGGTGCCGAGCTGCTTCACCGAATCGGCGCGCTTCAGCACGAACCGACGCGTCTCTGAATACATCTGCGGAGTGTGAGGAGTTTTTATCTCAGTACAAGGATGCAAGTTTATATTGGTTTAATATGCTAAAAATAATGCAGGAGGCCTAGCCAAGTGGCTTACGCGTGCGGACAGTTTTATTTTTATTTCCCAAAGACTCTTCCAGTTCTGAATCTCTGATATTATAAAATGTAAACGAAATTTCATCTCAATCGGTCCAGTAGTTTCAAAGCCAATTTGCTGTGGCAAACGGACTGACAACCAAAATACTTATAATATAATCCTTGGACCAATGATATATAAGGAGCCTTGGACTCGATCGATTAGACCTATTTCACAATTCATGACATGACTAAAATCAACTTTTTTTCCGTCTAATAATACAGAATTGCTTTATAGAGAAGGGTATCACACAACGAGTTACACTCAAGAGATGCGTTTTCGTCATATATGTTCGATTTACAAATATACCTATTTTATATGTTTTTTTAATAACCGGCTTTAACTCGGGTGTTCTCGTTGAACTCTGGATTTGAAAACCGTTTATAACCGCTTAGCCTTATTTACCTCAAACTTTTGGATCCTCCTTCCTGAGTGTGGATCAGATTACAACAAATGTAGTACGACATTAAAGTTACCTACCTACATAAAAATAAAACCTTCCTACTTAGGTATTTCCATTCATGCTTTGTTGTCTGTTACATATAGATAAAGAAGGTCACGTTATTTACGGAATTATCATATCATCAAACACAAGATCTACCCATATTATACGTCATGTTTGCCCGCAAGCCTGTATCTCTTTTTTCGAATTTTGCAATGAAATAACTTATTGTACCAAGGTACGTTTTAACTAACTAAAGCAAGTGCATTCTGTAAGAACAAAATCACTTTTCATCGTGGAATCCGCGGCGGGATTTGAATTTCTATTCTATCTATTAAATTTCAAATGTAAAAATTGAGTTTTTTCTTACAGAAAAGCACTGCTAAACTTATTTATATCTACTTCAATGAAGTGACTTCATAAAATCAGTAGGAAATGAAATTATACTTTATTCAAATTGACTTTTTTTTATAGCGAGATAGGCAATTGACTCTACCCTACCTGATGTTAAGTGGTGATAAAGTCCAAACGCGAAGATAGCTGGTACTGCAATTATAAACTGCTACACCAACCATCCTCACCTTGCAAAAGAAATGAGTCACCAAATTTCTTTGTTCGTATAGGAATAGAGGCCACAGTAAGATTATTGAAAGCTTTTTTAATCGTACAATATTTTTTTCTACTACCCATTCAGGACATCTTTTAGCTGATGAGACGAATGGGCGCAAGAAACTCGTCAGAATTTAACAGAAGTAACATTTACATAAGAATCATATTGCTACCAATACAACGTCCATTCACATTTTAATTGCTGTGTCATCTATACTATTATATAAAGAGAGAAAAGGATACACTGACAGACTGTTTGACTGACTGCCCGACTGACTCATCAACGCACAGCCGAAACGGCTGGACCTAGAATGATGAAATTTGGACAGTAGGTCCAACCTTATGATGTCTATGGGTCACTAAGAAAGGATTTTTCAAATTTCACCCCCGAAAGGGTTAAAGTAAAAGATGAAAATTTGAATGAAAAATCTTATTCCTCGAGTTAATAGACTTAAAACTTGGCACGAATACTTACCTAAATAAATCATAAAGTTTGTCATATTTGGTTTTCCTAAACTACCCTCTAAAAAATCGTTAGCCCGTATTCAGGTGCACGAAAGTCATTACTCGATTTCCGGCACCCATTGCAATATTTTAATTGTTTTACTGACGTTTTACTCACGGGTACTGGAACACGGGCAACCGATCCAGCACCCGCGTTCTAGTTCGAAAGTATCTCCGTGATGCCATATTGGGGGAAATCAAAATGAATACGGGCGTACTCGACTTCGTTTATTTACACTTACGTCAGTTTCAATACTTAATCAAACTCTAGTAAGAGGTAGGCCCACTCAAGCTGTGTTGCTAAGATATTTTAATTAATAAGACTATAATAACAACCGTTGCTAAGAAACAGAACCCAATTATCCTTACATTTAACTGGTTGATTATTGAAAGTGGCCGATGTCGTTTGTCCGAATGTCATAGGCAATCGTATTCGAACAAACGACTAAGTGTAATTGCGCTATTAAATAGTATCCTATTTAATTAAGTAGTATCGTATTTAATGGCACAATTACACTTGGTCGTAATCCCATAGGATGGATTACTGTATTAAAATAGGAGGGGGAGACAAGTGTCAGTAATTATAAGGAAAAGCTGATGTTCTTATAAACAACCGAAAAATTTACAAATGGTTTTAAATGTTTCTTAACTTCACTGTGACTATAACCAGAGGCACTTTACATTCTTACAGATATTTAAGCTTATATTATGTCAGTAATAGGGACATGATTAACATCTTTATAATTAGAGCACAAACCTTATTATCTACAATGATAAAGGTTATGAAAACAACACGTTCGAAACAAGTACTAATGATTTCATTAACCCAATACTTCATATTGTTGGTTAATTTAAGTGTTAGATAAGTTTATCAGAGATCCGTCGCCAGCGCCGGTTGTCCCTGAAACATCAGGCTTAACAAAGCGACAGGACAAGGCAAGTATCAAAGGGCGGTAAAGAGCAAAATGGTAATAATCCGAAAAAACCATTGCCAAGGAAAGATCAAATTTACCTTTAGCAATGTTGTTAAGTTTATATGGAACATATTCTGATGGACTAAATGTTGCCTGTCCAATTGAAAAAATCAAATTTACCATTAGCAATGTCGTTAAGCTTATAAGGAACATAGTCTGCTGGACTAAATGTTGCCTGTCCAATTGAAAAAGTAAAATTGAGAAGGTAAAAGTGAGTGAGACGAAGTCATCGTGCATAATAATTCGTAAATGTAGAAATTGGTATCGATTCTGGCATGATTTCGCAAAACCTGAACTTAAATTTGACAACAGGGTGTTCTTGTCATTTTCTTTACAAAATGAAAAGGACAGACTGAGTTGACAAATTGAGTTTTAAGTTTAGGGAATCATGCCAGAATCCACACCATTAGCTGCACCACACGTACAGTATAATTAATCTATGGTGGTTGTAGTTCACGTATACGTAAGGATACAGCTTGGAATAAATGTTGGCTGCAACATCGCTTTCTGTTTTTTTAAAGGGTGAACATTATTAAGCGAAGATAGCTCAGTTCCTCCGCAGTTTCTTCCTCCTTCTCGGAGTCTTAGAAACTCTGTCGGGGGTAACCGTGGAGAATATTTGGTTTCCATAAAACTCATTCCAGCAGACGAGCACTGTTAGATTGGCCGCACAGCCATTGTGACGACACCTTACTGGTGGATGGGCGGGACTAGAGGGAGGAGGAGTCCTAAATAACTTCGTCTCTCACCTAGGAGCGAGGTAGGCGCCATGCATTTCCCTTACATAAAATAGGGTCGCTTAGTCCATTCGAACTCATGGCTTGCAGCGGCAGCAGCATCAGCAAACGTTCGTTTAATCCATACCTATAAGCTACACTACGGAACTTACGTCTTGCGGTGGCAGGTAGATGCTGGGCACGTGCTCGCCGACCAGGTCGAGGCTACGGCACAGGAAGCGGTCCAGCTGGTGGATGGGCGTTTCCAGCAGCAGCACCGCAGGCAGTGCCAGATGCGCGCCCGCCGCCAGCGAGCGCTCCCCCAGCGAGAGATACCAGCGGAACAGGGGGTTCGACTCCTGATACAAAAACATATATAAAGTTTTAATATAAAAAAATCCACTCGTGTACAACATAATTACACAAGTATCTAAGAAAAAAGAAATAGCAATAGCAATTTTATTATATTTATTCACAAATACTACTCTTGCAGCTCTGCCCTCTGGTCCAACCTGACACTCGCCCGCGAAGAATTATTTATAGCTTTCTTTCCTTAAAAAAAATAACAGTTAAATGCTTACATTATCACAAATAACCAATTAACACCATATCCTCCGGAAATGCGGGCACGCCTATATTTTATGAATTATGCTTTCGTTTAAAAATGAATTTAATCGCCCTATGAAAAATATATTTCTTTTTATTCCCTAAGGTACTTCCTTGGGTATTCATTAACCTGGGTTAGTTATCGTGTCTGTTTTACACTCACTTTGATCCTGTGGTAAATCTTTTCTGTGACCTCGATACCGGAGCCCACGATGGGTATCGCCGCCACCCTGGACACAGCCTCCAGCTTAATCGCCGGTTTCTTTTCTGCGACAGTCACTGTAACAATATATACATTTACTGAGGCATCATCCTACTTCCTACTAAAATTATTCAGCGCGCGCATATATCATAGGATGATTTGATGAACTGGGATTTCGAAAAAAATCGTCTTCTCGGGGGTCCTTCCACATTTTTTCAATTTGACACACATATAGTTCATTACCTGGATTGAGATATAGGATATTTTTTATTGCAGTAAAATCTTAGGTTCCTGGGGTATTCTCAAAAACTTAAAGTTAACGAGACGAATAAGCTTAGACTACTTACGCCGTGTTCATATCACTCAAATGTCAATTGTGATTTAATGAACAGACACAACATGGAATAACTGATCCAAGCCTATTCTTTGTTTATTAATAAGGTCGTAAGAGTATTTAATAGGATAAAGTACTAGATTAACTAACAATCTAATTTCAATCCAAAATTTTACTAGGGCGTGTGTCATAAACAAGGTAAGGTAAAGATTAAAATAAGCAAACAGCATGAAAATTAAGATTAACTTGAATTTAGCTTTGCACATCCAGATAAGGAAAACTTGAAGTTTTTGTTTAAAAACATGGAAATATTAAAACCTTTTAGAATTACAGAATGTTCTATGTCTTTGATCGAATTTGTAATCTTAATTGTTTTTACTTAAATTAATATTGATGCACGATTGATCACGATGATGATTCTTTGCGATAACAACAATTCCTTAGTTACTAGTTACTTTGACAATCATAAAATTTAATGATGTCTGGTTGAGTGCGACCGCATTAAATTAGTTATTATATCAATATCTGAGTGAATTTCATCCAATAATATTTTAGCAGCAATAACGAATCATTATGTGTCCCTTTTTTAGCTTGCTTGATATAATGGAAAGTAGATAGAATATCGTAATGTAATATAAAGTATCCTCATAAACTGGTATATTGTTCTTTATTTATAAACTTTTAACCTCGGTTTAAATTTCCATATGTTTTTAGTTCTATAATAATAAACTTTTTTTAATTTAAAATATTAAATAAATAATCTTTTGTTGAAATGTTACTGATAATAACGATTATTTATCTGCTTTACATTGCAATTCAATTCATTTTAAGGCAGATAAGTGGCGCCACAGCCGTCAGACTATGTCGTTGTAGTCAAAGAAGAAAAACTTAAAAATAACATTATTTTACTGTCTTACTGTGTTATCGAAGTCTGTAACGAATGCAAGCACATTATTTATTATAGGTATACAATAAAAGTGTTTGTACATTAAATATAATGTCACAAGTGTTAGGAATTAAGGCTGAAATAGATTTAGGTAATATAAATTATTTAATGCATAGCTCATTCGTTTCTGCGACACAGCCACAAACAATATAGAAATCCGATATATTCTTCTTACAGCACCTCATTATAAGAACTAGGTTTATATCAAGCATATGATAGAATAATATAATATTATAAACATACGATAAGAACTAAAACTAGTAACAATTTGTCGAGTTTTGCTTTATCGGACAAAATGATGTTTTCAGTATGTTGATTTTTTTGATAAAGCTGATTTTTTATTATTAAATCGCAGTTAGAATACCCCAAGGTGTAATATTCGGTCCATTCTTTTTCATGGCAATGAAATGTATCTTCACTTTTCGTTTTTGCTATTGCAAATGACAATATACTGAGGTTGATACCTAAGCTAAAATTATAAAAAGGAACAAAGATACGGTTAACTTGTCCGAAAAATATTTGTATACTTTGTTCAAATTACCGGAAAGGTTCCGCATACCTTTTTGTGGGCCTTGACTTTGACTGACAGCTTGCAAATATGCTTCGGCTTTCTTCGCAATGGAGCCCTTTGCTCTCTTATTTAATCCTAGTGTGCATTTTCCATTAAACGATTTTTTGAACACATCACCGTTGTCCGCCATTTTTGACGTCACCGTTATTTTGGCGCAATATTCAAATGACATTAGATCTTTAAACTTTTTAATATATTTGATTTGTTATTAATGAAATATTAATGACCGCAAAAAGTAGAAATTGTTAAAATATCTTTATTTATATTTGAACGTTGACAGTTAACTGCAATCGATGTTAACTGTGTTTGGTCAATGCGTAAACTGTTTAAATTTGTTCATTATTTACTGGATAATGCAAAAGGTTATCTGCTAATTTAAAAATAACCTTTGTGTCAGACGGTATTATATCATCGACTTAATTGAGAATGACATACCTACCTACTCCTAATATGTCTCGTATATCTACTACTATTTAGTGTTTCCTTCAACTCACAGAATGTGTTGATAACCATTTTATATGGAACGATTAGTACTACTAAATATGCATTCGTGGAAGAGTTACATATTTTCATCACCCCCCGATAGGGAAAGACAGGTTTTTATAGGTCTCCCCAAAACCTAAAACGAAGGAAAGGTAGTGCGGCATTGTTTTATTTGTCCCCAGTCGAAACGGCAAAAATAAAGGTCATTCATTTTAATGCAAGTTTGTTTACTCTTATGACTTTGAATATTGTTATGCTAAAATTAACATACGGCTACCTTTATTAATATAAAGTACTAGCTGACCCAGCGAACTTCGTACAGCCCTAAAAAAATAGGGGTTGTCCAGCGGACAAAATTGTGAATCTAAACCATTCTCAGATCCCCTTGAACACACACAAATATTTCATCAAAATCGGTCCAGTCGTTTAAGAGAAGTTCAGTGACATACACACTCACAGAAGAATTATATATATAAAGATATCACAGTAGGATTCATATTGGTAAGTATGTCAAGCGGTGTCTTTTATGTCTGAGGAATTGAAACCAACTCAAACAGGATTTAACCAGATTGCTATTAGGAAGAACAGTTAATTAAGAACATATCTATAACTCTAAACGTGGTTTGTTTTAAAATATTTCCATTGACTATCCGACCTTCAGCACCGCCTATCTATCCCGGATTCTTGGTGTCATCGATATCGGACTTCGGTAACTTATCTGTATCACGAACCATAATGAATCATAATAGTAGGTAATGTAATAATGATTGTGAACTGTTTCCTGGGGAAATGGCGAGACTAATAAAATGATAATTTACACTTTCCTGTAGTCTAGATTTATAATTGACATAGGTTACATATGTGACAGAGGTTGATATAGGGTTTTCCAATAGGAACAGGGTATCTTAGACAGCCATCAGTGGATCATTAAAAGGATTTTTTTGTCCGCAATTGAAAGAAATGAATATGAGTAAATACATTATATACTACTCTGATGGACATTTGGTTTCAGCAATCACCTGTCCTATTGCCAGAGAAACAGTCAATTTATTGAAAGAGAAATTCAACAAGTTCGATCTCAAGATTCAGTGATAAGACATGGTCTCAAAGATTATGTGATTATGCCCCCTGATTATATTTTTTGGGGTTATATAAAATCACAGGTGTATGCAATCAATGCAAGAACTAGCGAAGACCTATGGCTGGACATAAGAAGAGACATAAAGACATAGTCAACGAGATAGAGGTGTCATTATATCAAAAAGTGTTGAATTTTTTTATTTTGTCTTGTATTCAGGCTACATACAATACGAAGCCGAAGTGATAATTTAAACTGTGTCGTATTCCACACAAAAAGCCAAAGAGAAAGCTTCTAAAAAAGTAAATTTATTGTTTCTAAGGTTTTCACGCACATCACTCATTAAATAAAACAAGTTTTAACGGGTCAGATTAGTACTGAATTTATTTATTTATTGACGTTTCTCATCCTTTGCAGGAATGCGTCGTCGCGATGCGAAAGGTCAATAAATAAATAAATTTAATGTCATTTGTTTTATTCGATTTCGAACGTGCCCGGTTCTTATTGCAAAACCCTATTTATAGAACTAGTAGATGGACTATGCGTATTATTAAGAAAAATATTTATTTAAACCTACTTATAGTTTTGGCTAGTTTCGTACCTGCATTGCGTGCCCTGATGTTCATTTTGATGCGTGGATTAATACTGTGGATATAATAAGTATATATAATTCCATTATAATAATATTATAGTGTTTGCAGCTGTTAGTTTCTTAAATAAGACTACTAGATAAAAAGACTACAGTCAAAAATAAATAATGTTTTTTTATGTAAAGAAAATTTTACTAGAATAAAATCCTCGCGGATGGAACCCGAACCCTTCTGCTATCCGGGCGGATGTGCTGACCATTATGCTACAAGGGCATTAATGGCCGTGTCGAATTCTGTCTAGTTTTTCTTAGGCTGCATGGCAGCGCCATCCCTTCGCATTGTAGGTAACCCACAATGTCAAATGAAAAAAACAAAACTAAAGAATTCGACACGGCTATCAGGGCCGCGGTAGCATTATGGTCAGGGCATCCGCCCGGATAGCGGAGTGTTCGAGTCCCGTCTGCTACCTGGCCCGGCATGGAATTTTTTCGATAAAAAATTTCCTTAGATTTAAATGCTTACAAAAAAAAACTTTACTACATATTTTGTTTGCAATGAAACAACTAAATGGAAGTTAATTTTTTTTAAGCATTTAACTGCTAGATGTTGAAATGTACAGACAATTTGACTATAAAAAGATCAACGCGGACTAGGATATAAAAGTTTATGCTAGTTGCGATTAAGTGTAAAGAAAAAAGACTACATAATAATAATAAAACTTTAACTTTAGTCTTATCAACAGGTACAGCGAATGATGCTGTCGGTCAACAACTTCATAGACCAATTATTTATTTTTATTTTATTTTATTGACAAAGATTCACCAACATACAATTTTACTTTACAATTTGAAAAAAATGTATTAATACCATACATAAAGATATGCTTTTTATAGGTGAATACAGCATTCACATATATACAAATAAACTACAATGACAGATTAAACAAACAAAAAATATATCCACCATCATGAAAAACAGGTAGGTATAGTCTCTGCGGAAAGAGAATGGGGATTTAGATTGGAGGGCGCTGTAGTGCTTTTCTACCGTATTTGTAAGGTTTTATCCCTTTTATGACATGACAACAACAAAGAAATCCGTATCAATACAAAACTTTGACGTTTTACAGATTGCTGGGTTTGATTGCCAAATAAAAATCTTAATGTTAGTTCCGTTTTTCGCCACGCCCATTCTCTTCCCGCACAGACTCTACTGAATTATAATATTATTTAGTCTGTGTTATGGTCCAATTTTAATTTTTCCATAAAGTTCATAAATACGCGCTCAGAATCGTGGAAAACATTGTAGGTACGCACACCGGTATATAGGAGCACATTCACCAAGTCTAGTATTGTTACGCGGGAGATCAAAGCTTTTTGACATCGGACGTCTAGGTATTCGATAAGGGACTTTAATATTCACCTGTTTAATTAGATTTGGACAAATCAATTTTCCATGGATAAGCTTAAGAAGTGAAGGAGACGAGTATTGTAATCATCACGGGAAAAATCGCGACTACGATAAGCAAGGTAAAATAATAAATATTAAATAAAAATATGCGAGCACAGCAATATGCTTTGTAAAAACTGTTTTACTGTTTACCTAATTTTTTTTGTGTTTAGGAAGGTTGCGATTTTGAGAGATTAACTAGAAACTCAAATTTCTGAACAAGAAACTCACTGACTGACAGACCAAAAATCTGCTGAGTAATTGCATTATATGAACAAACTAAAAAGTCAGACAACAGTGGAGTTTCTATCTTAGAAATCTATAATTGATAAACTGATTTGTAAAATTCTTTATTTGTTTGAAACAGTATAATAATAATATTTTCGAAGTAGCTATGAGACCTTGGTTGAGCAAACGTAGACAATTTTTGTTTTCCCACACGGCACACCATCGGAACCGTAGGTACTGGGGGCCATTCGCCTAACGGAAATGCTTTGGAAAACGCTAACGCTTTCGATTTTATTTTGTTATTTCCGACCGCCAAATTTTTCAAATACCTCACGCTCATTTTTTTAATATTGTTATTACCAATGCAAAAGATAAAAAAAGAGCGCGAGGCATTTGAAAACCGCAGGCGGCTAGAAATAACAAAATGAAATCGTAAGCGTTAGCGTTTTCCAGCATTGCCGTTAGGCGAATGGCCCACTGGTCGTGTAGCGGCGTTCGGACACAATTAACTAAATATATAAAAGAAGAAAGTGACTGAGCGACTGACTGACTAACTGACTGACATATCAACGCACAACCCAAACCACTGGGTCTAGAGACTCCAAATTTGGCACGTCGTAGGTTCCTTATGAGGAATAGGGCTTGCACTGAGAGTAGGATTCTTCATATATAGTTCAAAGTTTTTATGAAAAATCTTATTCCTTGAGGTAATAGACTTGAAACTTGGCACGAATACTTATCTAAATGAAATATAAATTATAAAGTGTGGATACGTAACTGAGGAATAATTGAGTTTCAAAAATTTACTTCGCCTGTTTGTATCGAAAGAAAATAAAGTTTGTATAAATTTAACGGATTGCTTTTATGATTTGATGATAAATATTGGATTGCAGATAAAGGTTGCCTCGGAAAAAATAAATATCAAAGAGGGTGAGATCGGCGTAATACAGAACTAAGTAATATCGATAAAGCCCAACAAATGCCACATGTAGCATCCCTTATGATTTGACCGACTTGCCTGCGGGTTTTTTGTTGTGATCTTAATGGACAAGGTTAGTATGAATGAATATTTTGAAAAATGTACCAAATGATATCAGGATATATATAAAGGACATTGTTCAGCGTCCATACATAGTTAACCTAAGAACCAACAATCATGAAATATTATTTTCTAGGTTCAAAATCGTAAGTAAATGACTGTAAAAACAAAGATTATTGACGGACACTTCTGAGAACTTAAATTATTAGGAAAACTAAAATTTTTTTGAGGTTATGTTTAATATTCATTGAAACATAGGTCAACCTATGAATTTAGTATGAACTCAGTATGAAGTGAATTAATATTACAACTAATTCATTTTATTCGGTGCGATTTTAAAGAATAACTATTAGGAAAAACTTGGTTAGGTAGGAATCATGAATAAAATAAAAACTGTAGATTTGCTTCTTATATTATTGACTATTTTTCACATAATTGTATCATATTGTTTATTGTATTTATTTGTATATCACGTGTATATTGTGTAAATATGCAGCGTGAATGTGTATCAGGTGTTCTTGAATATTTTGGCAGTATGATCCTCTCAGGATGTTATGGCACAGGTTCACTAGCACTGGGTAATAAGGGCTCTGCTCTTTGATAACATCGATGGCATATTAGATAGCCGAAATATTTAAATTAAAGGAAAAACAATCGCAAATAAACACACACAACAGGTAATCCGAAACGAGAATGCACTTTACGGTATAATATACTACTCTTTGGAATGCACGAATGCCACAGATTACTACAAATGCAAACTGCATGCACCACAACCACAGAGTAACGAGTTTTATGCCGGCCCTTCACTTGACAACAGTTTGTCCTTGTCATGCTTAATAAGGAATGAAAAGAACAGACTGATGTCATGTCAAGAAAATAGCAAATACGAAGA